TATTGCTGGATATGCTACAAAGTGATCTGAAGAACTGGAACACATTCTCTATATTTTGTCAGCTTCGTGGGAGGCTGGAAAATTAAGTGGGCAGAAAAAAAAATGATCTAATCCAAGATGAAGATAAACAGTATCCCAAAGATATAATTAAGGAAAAATATAAAAACAGGAGACAGAATTTTAAATACAAGCCTAAACAGTCAAACAGTTGACGGGAACTGTGGTGAGTCAACCGCCTCCCCCCACCCAAACCTATTCAATTTTCCTGAGTACAAAAATGCCTTTTCTTCATTTCTGAGATGAGATCAAATAATCCTGTGTTTTTCATGCTCTGACTGAACCTGAATGGTTTCTGGTCTCTGGCCCATCATATTCAAAGCAGCCAGATTTTTACACTGGTCTGGCAAAGTCTGGTGTTTTCAAAGGCAGTCATTCTTCCTGTGATACTGCTTCAAGAGAAACTAACTCAGTATTAAAATGTCTAAAGGATTTTTTTGGTATTTTTTTTTTTAAACTAAAAATTCGGGAGAGACAAAGAACATCGGAGACGCTGAATAGGTAACACTTCTCTCTTTTCGGATAATAAAAAATTCTTTGTTTAAACACTAGGACTAAGTAAGAAAGCGAGACAGAAAGAAACAGAGAGGGAGGGAAGAAAACAAACAACTCAAAGATCTGGACTCAGAATTTCAAACATCCAGCCTAAGACTTATACATAGATAGATACCCACAATACTGAGAGAGGTAACTACAGAAAATTTAGAAAAGGAGAGTAATTTTGGGGGGACTGGAATTCAGAAGTTCTAATTTCTAAGATAAGATAGCCTATTTTACAACACTGGCTTCTTTTACTAAAATGTTGGAAATGTCCAAAAATCCATTTGAGCAATGCTGAGAAGTATCATGTGTCAGGAACAGTTTATTAAATGTCTTTCAAAAGCTGTGTACGTAATGAATGTTGCTTTTGACAAACATCTGGGGAAAACAAACAAAACTGGTCCAACTTCTTTTAGGACTACTTCTCTGTGCCAATAAATTCATCATTTTCAAATATCATCTGAGTCACATGACGGTGGCATGCGGACACAGAACATGATCTAGACTGAGAGTTGGCCAACTTTTTCTACAGAAGGCCAGGTAGTAAATATTTAGAGTTTGAGGGCCTCATGGTCTTCGTCATAACTATTCAACTCTGCAGTTAGAGCACAAAAGCATCCGTAGACGATACACAAACGAATGGATGTCAGTGTGCACCAATAAAACTTTATTTATGGACACTGAAATGTGAATTTCATATGTCACAAAATATTATTTTTAATTTTTTTTCAACCACTTAAAAATGTAAAAACCTTTCTTAGCTTCAGGCCACATAAATAGAAGCGATGGGCGGGATTTGGCCCAAGGGCCATAGTTTGCCAACCCTTGATATACACAATTAAATCAGGTAGAGAGAAATATTTAAACTGTTTCATGAAATAACAGCAACTACTAAAGAAAGTCAGTGGAGGGGTGGTTAATTTTCTATACACAAAAAGTTATCCGAAGGCAGCTTCTACTGAAATAACTCAAGAAGGGGGAAAAAGCTCTATCAAAGGAAATTAAATTTCTGATCCCACAGATAAAGAGAGATCAGTAAGCTCCCTGGGAAACATACAGATTTCTAGCGAGCTGTCCGATAGTACAGGGAGTTCTTGATGTGGGAAACTGTAATTTTACATGATTTTATACAGGAAGAAAGGAAGCAGCAATTTAACAATCAAGTCAAGGGAACGAACGGCAATAAGACGATTATAATTAAAGCAGAGGGAACTCTAAGCCGAAACAGGCTGCGGCTCTAGAATTTGGGGCAAGGTCACAGAACGGTGACCTCTGAAACTGAAGCTGTAAGTATCACCAAATAATGAAATTACTATGCGCAAAAGTGACCTACCTGAAAAGATGGTTTGTAAGCCTGTTGCTAATGAGAGGACGCCTCCAAAATCTCATCAGACACGAAAACACACATAATCTGAGACAAACTGAGCTCTAATAAATCGTATCAATCTGTGGCAATGTCAGAACAGAAGGATGGAGGTCCACATGGAGACTGGAGAAAGACAAGTCAAAGACAAGAGTCCGTCAGTGTTTCTCTGCAGGACCGGGCAGCTGACGGAGTGCTCTGGCCCACTCTGTGAACCCATCCTACCTAGAGGAAAAATGGGTGCATCCAGGTGCTGAAGGATGGCACCTCCTGCACAGACCCTCCGCTCACATATCCACTTCTGGAAGAGAGTGGACTCCCAGACTTTCTGCTGGCAACGGCATGCTCCGGCCAGGCCACACCAGTGTTCTCATCTGCTGTGCAGTGATATCTCTCCTTATAAATTAAGGAAACCGGTATTCTTACGTATCATTAAGTCTCTGACGACTTTAATAAGCATGTATGAATAGTCTCTAAAAACCTTTTGACATGATCATGAGTGAATAAAAAAACATCAGGCAATTCTCCTGTGTTCCTTCTAAAATCGCAAACTGAGGACAAGGCAACGGGCAACACCACAGAGGTATAGACAGCTTATGAGGCCACTCTGGTCAACCACGACTTAACTGGACTTACTCTCCTTTTACTGCCAAGGGTACAGGAGTCAAGAACACTGCCTGGGCTCCAAAGTCAGGTTGCTTGGTTTGAATAAATCCCTGCTGCGCGACCTCCTAACTAACGTTTCTTAAACTCTCTGAGCCCAGCTTCGTCATCGGCAAAATAGAGATGAAGGGGGAGCATACCTCAGAGAGTTACTATGACAACTAAGAGATGATGTGTATGAAGCACTCAGCACAATGCCCGGCACCTAGAAAACTCTCAATAAATGGTAGTTCCTTCTTGTTACTACCATTGTGATTATCTTTTGAATTATTATTAGCTGCAACAATGATAATAAACCCTTTAGCCGAATTCACTGACGGTGGCAATATTCCGGTAGTTCACCTGCACTCAGCAGTTTTCCTATTTATCTGAAGCTCTGGAGCTTCTGAGGACACTACATCAACTCCAGTTCAACTCAAGACTCCAATCAACTTCTTCATAAGCCCTTAAACCAAGGTGTTCCTGTTTCAACGGCTGCTATCTGGATCACAGGAGCATTCCCGCTCAGTCTCATTCCTCACTTCCAACTAGACTCATAAATCATGCCAAATGCCTCAAACCTCCCTACTCTTATTCCTAACAAACTCTCTCTCTCTTCCACTATAGTAAAACAATAGCTCTCCAATGTTACGGCAAATTTACCACATACCAACTCCTGACATAAAGATCTTAGCATTCCCATGCACAAAGTAAACAAACTGCCATCAGGGAAATGCAAATCAAAACCACAATGAGATACCACTCACACTCCCTGAATGGTTATAATAAAGAAGATAATAAGTGTTGGCAAGGATGCGGAGACACCAGAACCCTCAGACACTGCTGGTGGGAATGTAAATGGTGCCATCACTTTGGAAAACAATTTCTCAAAAAGTTAAACATTAAGTTACCATTAAAAAAAAAAAAAAAACCCTATGCCGGTGAGTCGATCCGACTCACAGTGACCCCACAGGACACAGGAGAACTGCCCCACAGTGTTTCCAAGGAACGGCTGGTGGATTCGAACTGCTGACCTTTTGGGTAGCAGCCACACACTTAACCATATGACCCAGTAATTCCCCTTCTAGGGATGCATATCCAAGAAAAATGAATGCTCACGAATGTTTAAAGCAGCAGTATTTATACAGCCAAAAAGTAGCAACAATCCAAATGTCCATCAACTGATAAACGGATAAACAAAATACAGTACAGTAAAACCTGCGAAAGCCAGAACCCGTGTAAGGCAGAAACCTGTCAGAGAAAGACAACGCAACTATTTTCCACAATAGAGAGCGACAGAAGAGTGGTAAGACCGCACCCTGTCAGAGGCGGAAAACTTGCCAGACCTGGAAAAACAGGGCAGTCCTGTGGAGTTCCGGCTCTCACAGGTTTCACTGCATACGCACACGATGGAGTATTATCTGGCAATAAAAAGGAATGAAGTACTGCTAAAACATACATGGACCTTATTTTCATTATGCTAAGTGAAAGAAGCCCATCACAAAGGCTACGTATGATTCCATTTATAAGAAACATCCAGAATAGGTAAATACATAGACAGGAAGTAGGCTGGTGCTTGCCTAGGGCTGGGGGTGTGTGGAGGAAATGGGAGGTGACTGATAACAGGTACAGTGTTTCTTCAGGGGTGATGAAAATGTTATCAAATTGACTGTGGTGACAGCTGTACAACTCTGGGAATATACTACAAACCACTGAAGCGTACGCGTTAGACAGGTGAAATATGCGATATGTGAACATGAAGCAGTTAGACAGACAGGTAGACAAATAAACAAATGCTTGCCAAGTGTACAACCAGAAAGTGACCTGGAGAGAAAGGCTGAACCCGTGGGGGCAGCAGTCAGCACAGGGACACAGCCAGCCTGCAGCTCATGAAAACAAACCGAGGGAGCCTCTCAAAACCACAGGCTGCCAATCAAACGTCTGCTAGCTTTGCATGCGACTCCAAGACATTTTCACTACCCTAGGTTACAGAGCATAGAAACACAACATCTGAAACGTACACGTATTTAATGTTCACTTTTTTGGAGTCTGAGTGACCCCTCTATCGTAACTTATACTACATGAGCTACAGAGCTAGTCATCTCTATCAAATTTAACTCCTTTACTTATTCAACAAACATTTACTACATGCCTACTATGTGCCAGGCAGTGTCCTAGGTGTCGGGGACACAAAGATGGTTGAGACACAAGCCTTGCTCTCACGGAGCTCAGCGAATAGCAAGCTGAGAGTCACAACGCTGATAGTCAGGAGAACACTGTGACTCACAGGGCTGCAAACGAGACACGCTCCCAATGAATGGGTCTGAATGACGATGATGGTGGAAATCATCACGAGGCATGGCCTGTCGACCCCGACCAGTCCTGGCGAGCTGCCTACCTGTTGACGTGCTCCTCCCAGTCCTCCGGTGGGGGAGGGGCATCCGCATCGGTCCTGGCAAAGATGACATGTCGTTCACACTCGTTCATCACGCTGCGTGCCTTCTGATTGTCATAGAGCGGCACGGGAGTCGACGTGACTGTCTCTACATCTATCGGGACGTCCGATTCACTGTAGAACAGGTGAGGAAACAGGAACAGAAAACACATACTTCACACAACACAGGTGTATAACGATCATCTGGCTGCCAAAAACTATCTTTTTAACATAGTCGGCTTTAAATTTGGCATCAACACATTATAGCCACGAGAACATTTTAATCCAAAGTCACCTTTCCCACACCTAACTTGCCTAGATCTCTACCCTCTCTGACATGCTGGTATGTGCAGGAGCAAGAAGTCATTGAAAAATGAGTCTGAGTAAAATATACCAGAAATCTATTTAAAAAAAGACATACAGAATTCCAAAAGCAAAGAGGTGATTGTCTAGACCTGTGCTGTCCTACACGGTAGCTATAAGCCACGAGTGACTATTTAAATTGATGAAAATTAGATAAAACTTAAAATTCAGTTCCTCAGCAGCACTAGTCACATTTCAAGTGCTCAGTAAGCACAAGTGGCTAATGGCTACCAGACCGAACAGCACAGACATAGAATATTTCCATGACTGCGGAGTTTTGTTGGACAGCGCTGGTCTAGAGTTTTAAAATATTCACGCTAACATTCCCTTTCATTAGTGGGTTTAACTATAAGCTTATAAAAGCCTGATTGTCTAAGACAGATCACATGGAATCCAGACACTTTAGCTATTTAACTCATTTTGCAAGCAGCCTAGAACAAAAACATATAAATGACATCCAAAAGATTTTTCCTATTTTAAAAAGGTGTCAGCGAAACCCTAGTGCCATGAGGGCCCCTCCCCATGTCGTGAGATACCGCACCAACGTTGTCACTCTCCCCAAAATGCTATTCCAGACTGGTCTGTGGCTGTCTACCAAACTTCACTACAACTTTTTGACCCCGATGATCTTACTGCAACCATTCCCAGTGACTGGAATAATTACATCATTATGAAATGAAGTAAAATAATGGGGTGGTGGATGAAAGAGCTGATTATCTTCTCTATGCCAGACACTGAGCTAAGCGCTTTGAAATGTATGCCTGAAAGAGAACTCTGGATTTCACCATCCCAAACCTATCCTCCCTCAGTCTTCCCCAACTCATGACGCCACCACTCCCCAGCTGCTCAAGCCAGAAATCGGAGTCATCCTAATTTCACCTTTCCTCTTAACCTGGCCCCTCTTCCTAATTCACCACAGCTGGTCCTGTTGGCGCTTCCTAGGAAACGTACGTCAAGGCCACTCATCTCTCCATCTGCACTGCTCCCACCACACTCTGAGCTATCATAATCTCTGACCTGGACAACTTCAATGGCCTCTTAGCTGATCTTCTGAATTCTATTCCAGCACTCCTATAACCTATTCAACAAAAATCCAAAGCGATCTTTTAAAAATATAAACTGGACCTCTAGTTTAAAATCCTTCAATAACTTCTTACCACTCTTGGAACCGAATTCCTGCATGAGGCAGCGCTGCCACCTCCTCCCTGACCTCCCACTTATACCCCACTGCAGCCACATTCCAGCCACGCTGACCTTCCCAGAACATGCCAGACCCCGACTCTCAGGACCTATCCACTGAGACAGAGCCTACTTTCAAAAAAGAGGTAAGTGCCCAAGTACTGAAATACCAAGTCCACAGAATCTCACCCTAAGAAAATGTCATGAGATATGCACACAGAATTTCGGCATTGGCAAGAACAACGTAATACACAGTTAAGAGAAAAAGATTTCAAATTCTGTCTAAATGAGCTTTTCGGTTATGCCCCAGGTGAGAGACATCATGATTATGCTAGATTACTCCTCAAAGGTTCAGACCCAGTGCCCTGTACAACAACAAAAATCAACTGAATGCAGCCCTCATTGGGAAACAAAATGAAAATCACTATCCTACACGTGTTTAATACACACACACAGGATGTGTGTGTACTAAGGTTATGTGAGGGGAGGGGTCTAAGAAGCAGAATACATGATCTCCAGCCTCCAACAAACCCAAAGCCTGTGTCTTAAAGAAAGATTAAACACTGGGTCAGATTGAAAAAAAAAAAATTACAACTCTTCTTCCAAAAAGTTTATAAAGTATTAAGGACATGATTTAGTCATCAAAACAGAACATAACCAATCTTGAAATATAAGATATTAGAACTCCCTGAAGCTCAAAAGATTTGCCAAACAAGTTTATTTGGGCCAAATGTAATCACATCAAGTAGAAAAATTATGAAAATTCCTTACCCTGTAATGTGGGCCAGCTGAAAATACAATTAGACCTAAAAGGGTTTAGATTAACCCATGCATGGCATTCTGTAACAGGCTACTAACAAAGAGGGTGACGTCTTGAGGATTTGCTCCTCATCTTCTGCACATGAAGCCAGGATGCATTACCATACAAAGGCTGCTGGTACCTCTGCGGGAGCAAACCAGAGCACTGGGCGGAAAGGACGAGGGGTCTAATCCTGTGTGGCAATTTTTTCAATCAGCTCAGTTTTTTTCTTCACCAGTTAAATAATTCTCTTCAGTTCCTCCCTTCCATACAAGTCCTATCACCTAAACGGAATGAGCTTCCTGTTGCCCTGGGAACTTCTTGCTGCCCTAACTGTCCTCTAAAATGCACAGCCCCAGGGGAGAGACACATAACCACACCCCTTGTACACTGATGTCCACATTTAGGAGGCCCGATAGCCTTCTGTTGCTCACCAGAGACGCCTGAATTAAACACCCAAGTCTCCCGTACAATCTCCCCACGTCATCCCTAAGAAAATCCTCTCTAATCCCCACCACCTGATGACTGCCCGGTCAGGGCACCGCCCTCAGGAAAGAAGCCCAAACTCACATGGTACTTTCATGCTGCCTCCGGGGAGTAACAAAGAGCATGCGGGTGGGGCGAGCACTGCTGGCATCTGGGTGGGCACTCCATGGCTTGGCATAGCTGTGATCCAGGAAAACCAGGTCCAGCTCCCTCTCGTGCACTGAAAGCTGGAAGAGCAGCGAGGTGCCCATGCGGCGCGCAGAAGTCTGGAAGTCCCTCTCCGCACCCCGGTGGGCCATGTCCGTAGAGGGACCGCACTTCAGAGCATGGGTATGTGCATGCTAAGTCACCTGCAGCGAGAAGTTGCAGTCTGAGTCAATTCAAATATTCTACATTTGTCCCAACCTGAAACATCCAATGCATTTCTTACTTCTGTGACCTTCTACAGAGCCCTGGTAGCGCAGTGGTTACAGCCCTGGGCTGCTAACCAAAAGGTAGGTGGTTGGAACCCACCAGCCATCCATGGGAGAAAGATGTGGCAGTCCATTCCTGTACAGATGACAGTCCTGGAAGCTCTCTGGCACTGTTCTGCTCTACCCTACTGGGTCACCATGGGTCAGAACTGACTTGATGGCAGTGGGTTCAGTTTATTGGTCATAACTGAGTATATCCATCACACAGCAGACACGTTCCCACCACAGGGAGGGCTCCTGAGATCTCACCCCGCCCCTACACAAGACTGGCGCCATGAGCTCCTCCACACTCAATCTCTAGCAAACTTGCTACCTGGAAAGCTCAGTAACTCTGTTGTTCAGAGACCCCACACGGCAGACGCTATTCTCCTACGTGATGAGTGGGAAACGTTTTCCAACAAAAGAAATCACAAATATTAACTCTTCAGAAGCTCCGTGTGGGCGAGCATCCATCTACGTAGGTAGAGGTGAGCGCCCCTCTGCGGCCTCGAGGATCCTAATCCCAGCAAGGGCTCACATTCCTCCACAGCTCCTGTGTTACCTCACACAAAACTTCGGCAACTACTTCACAATGTCTAAAGTTTTTAAAATATACAAATGAGAGCTGCCTCCAAAAGCCTGTAAGAAGTTGATATCCCAGGAAGACCTTTCCCGGTATCCTCCTGGGCCTGAGGTAGTACCGGCAGACGGCCTGGTACTCCCGGTGCCCCTAGTGCCCCCTAGTACTCCCGATACCCCTGTGTTCTGGTATCCCTAGTACTCCCGGTACCCCTAGAACTCCCAGCACCCCTTAGTACTCCTGGTACCCCTAGTGCTCCCAGTACCCCTAGTACTCCCGGTGCCCCCTAGTTCCCCTAGTACTCCTGCTACCCTTAGTGCCCCTGGTACCCCCTAGTACTCCCGGTACCCCTAGTGCCCTGGTACTGCTAGTACTCCTGGCACCCCCTGGTACTCCCGGTACCCCTCGTGTCCTGGTACCCCTAGTACTCCCAGTACCCCTAGTACTTCTGGTACCTAGTACTCCTGGTACCCACTGGACCTCAAAAGGGCCTCTCTAGTAGGCAGAGGGGGACGACGTGACTCGGCCAAGGTCGCCGCGAGTTCGCGACGACGAGTTGCCGCCTGGACCCGCCTCCCGCCCCCCGGCCCCGTTCGGCGCCCGCGTCACCGGCCCAAGAGTGGCCCCCAGCCCAACACCCCGCCCGGCCTCTGCCGCCTGGACCCGCCTCCAATCCACAGCCCCCGCCCGGCGCCCCGCATGACCCGAGAGACTCCCGCCCGCGACCCCCAAGGACAGCCGCCGCGCCGGGGTCGGCGCTTCCCTCACCCGCAGTGGTGCCGCGCGCTCGGCCCGGGCCGTACCCCAGCGCGCGTGCGCGTTACCGCCTCCACGTCCCAGCGCCTCGGGGCGCCGCGTAAAATGCGGAAGAGGATCGCCTCCCGGGAAGGGAGGGGCGGTGAGCAGGAAAACCCGGAAAGGATATAATGCTGGCAACTTAGCCCTTTAAAGGATGAATGTATTTATTTATTTCGTTTGGAATTTTTTTGGTAATGCCTTGTTTTTTCACTAATGGAATGGATGCTGAATCAGTTTGTTGGTAGTTTTTTTATTATTTCGAAAAATGTGATGCCAGTTGAAAGCAGGCCATAAAAACCAAAAAAACCCGTTGCCATGGAGTAGATTCCGACTTATAGTGACCCTTTGGACAGAGTGGAACTGTCCCATCAGGTTTCCTAGGAGTGGCTGGTGGATTCGAACCACTAACCTTTTGGTTAGCAGCTCTTAACCACTGCACCATATGGATCCCATATTCGATAACGTACGTCACAAACAGGGTACATATCAGTCCCATGGCCCAGGAAGTGCATCACAAACTGTTTTCATCCCAACAAGAACTCATTTACTTGAATATTTCCAATTGCCAGTGTCCTACTTATCTAGTGCGACTATAACAGAAATACCATAACTGGACGGCTTTAACAAAGAGAAATTTATTTTCTCACAGTCCAGTAGGCTAGAAGTTTCAAATTCAGGGCTCCACCTCCAGGGGAAGGCTTTTTGTCTCTGTCAGCTCTGGAGGAAGGCCCTTCTCATCAATCTTCCCCTGGACTAGGAGCTTCTACGTGCAGGGACCCCGGGTCCAAAGGACAAGCTCTGCTCCTGGTGCTGCTTTCTAGGTGTTATGAGGTCTCCCTGTCTCTCTGCTTGATTCTGTCTTTTATATCTCAAAAGAGATATGGTAGATTGAGCCCTGCCTCATTAACATAACAGCTGCCTATCCCATCTCATTAACATCATAGAGGTAGGATTTACAACACAGGAAAATCACATCAGATGACGAAATGGTGGACAATCACACAATACTGGGAATCATGGCCTAGACAAATTGATACACATACTTGTGGGGGACACAATTCAATCCATGACGGCTAGTGTCCCAGTCATCTAGTGCTGCTATGACAGAAATACCACAAATGGATGGCTTTACCAAACAGAAATTTATTCTCTCATAGTCTAGGAGACTAGATGTCTGAATTCAGGGTACCAGCTCCAGGGGAAACCTTTCTGTATCTGTCGGCACTGGAGGAAGGTCCTTGTCATCAATCTTTCCCTGGTCAAGGAGCCTCTTACCACAGGGACCCTGGATCCAAAAGACGCACCTTGCTCCTAGCTCTTCTTGCTTTGTGGTAATGAAGTCCCTCTCCTCTCTGCTCGCTTCTCTCTTTTATATCTCAAAAGAGACTGACTCAAAATACAACCTAATCCTGTAGACTGTGTCCTGCTTCATTAACATAACTACCTCTAATCCTGCCTCATTAACATCATAGAGGTTAGGATTTGCAACACATAGGATGATTACAGCTGATCACAAAATGGAGGACAACCACACAATACTGAAAATCATGGCCTAGCCAAGTTGACACGTATTTTTCAGGGCACAATTCAATCCCTAACAGTCGCTAGGAGTCTGAATCGACTTGACATCATACAACAACTACAACCACAAGCACATAAGTGATTTACTTCACTTAATCCTCTCCACAAGGTCGTGTACTAGTTTCTATTATAGTCATTGGAGTTCCTGGGTGCCTCAGATGGTTAAGTGTTTGGCTACTAACCAAAACGTTGGCAATTCAGACCCACCCAGAGACTCCTCGGAAGAAAGGCCTGGTGATCTACTTCGGAAATATCAGCCACTGAAAACCCTATGAAGCACAGTCCTACTCTGCACACGTGGGATATCCATAGGTTGGAATAGACTCAGTGGTGTTTGGTTTGGTTATCGTAGTCATTTCCAGAGGGGTAAAGTATTTTGCCCAAGGTCACAGAGCTAATAAGTGGCAGTCTGGCTCCAGAGCCCAGGCTTGTGACCCCTCACAACTCCAATCCCCACCATGCCTATTGTTATAAGGAAACGTGTCAAGTGATAAGAGCAGGTACACAGTGAACCAGCCTTGGCCTGGGAGATGGGAAAGGTGGGCCTGTGACAGTGAACTCAAAGCTGAAAATAAAAGAGAATGAGGCAACATGGTGGGAAGCTGGCAGAGAAGCTCTCCAAGAGAAGGGGCAGCAAAGATAAAGGCCATGAGCAGAAAGGAGTGTGATAGCATTACAAAAAAAGAAAGAAAAAGCCAGGGCGGTGTAGCCAGGAAGCAGTGGTCAGCAAGAGAAGAGAGGTGCAGTTGGAGCCATAGAGCAAGGCCGGTACCTCCAGAGCTCCAGGGGTCCTGTTAAGAATTTGGCACTGGTCACAGGCTACTCTGTGGTGTTAACCTTCCTATATCTGTGTTTTGTGTAGAGATCCTCCAAGTCAGAAACTTTAACCTTCTTTGTACCCTCTAGAGAACATAGCCCCAAACCCGAAAAGCCCATTGCTGTCAAGTTGATTCGGACTCATAGCAATCCTATAGGACAGAGTAGAGCTGCCCCTATGGTTTCCAAGGAACGGCTGGTCGATTGGAACTGCTGGCCTTTTGGTGAGCAGCCAAGCCCTTAACCACTGTGCCTCCAGGGCTCCAACCCAAGAGCCAGACAAGGGGAATTCTAAAAATAATAGTGAAAGAAGTCCCAGGAGGGTAGCTCTGCTGCCGGGCTAGGGAGCAACAATCTAGACTGGAGGAAAAGGGAAGGCTTCGGGAGTAATATCCCCAGGGAAAACAGTGAAGCTGCTGAACTACCTGGCAGATTGTGATCTGGAGAAAATTGTACCAAAAGGAACATTACAGGACTGTTGAAGGGTGTTGGAGGACTTAATATGAGTTTCAAAGAAAAGTAAGCAAATGAAAAAAAATGAAGCAATTCTTAACTTACAGAAAAACAAAAAGTTATACAAGAAAGGACACATAATTAGAGTATACTGCTTGCTATGCAGGGGGGCCTTGGTGGTGCAGGGGTAGAATCCTCTCCTCCCATGTGGGAGACTCAGGTTCAATTCTTGGCCAGTGCACCTCAGGCACAGCCAATACCCGTCTGTCAGTGAAGGCTTGCATATTGCTATGATGCCGACCAGGTTTCAGTGAAGCTTCCAGACTGACAGACCAGGAAGAAAGGCCTGGTGATCTACTTCTGAAAATCAGTGAATGAAAACCTGTGGATCAAAACTGATCGGAGCAGGCAGTGCTTCTTTCTGCTGTGAGTGGGGTTCCCACGAGCTGGGGCTGATACAACAGCAGCTGACAACAGGATTTGCTGTGCAGTGAAAAATACACATAGTCATAGTAATGAAAATACTGAATAGAGATTTAGTCCCCAGATGAGATCTAATTATAGTGGGAGAGCAGGGCCAGGGAAAGACAGTGTGCGAAAGCTAAAGCCCTCATCTTGTGTAACAAACAGCAGTAGACACTGTCTGAAAGCAATGAGGCAGGGAGAAGCAGGGAGGCAGGAAAGGAGACAGTGTGCGAGAGCTCATAACGTCTAAAGTTGAAAAATTTAAGAAATACTGATGAGCTCGGCTGCTAACCAAAAGGCTGGCTGTTCAAATCTACCAGCTGCTCCTTGGAAACCCTATGGGGCAGTTCTGCTCTGTCCCATAGGGTGGCTATGAGGCGGAATCGACTCAACAGCAACGGGTTTGGTTTGGGTTTTGCTATGCTGTTTAGAAATGGTGACCCCATGTGTTGCTGAGTAGAACTGTTCCACAGGGTTTCTTTGGCTGTAATCTTTACGGAAGCAGATCACCAGGTCTTTCTTTCTCCGTGCTGCTGGGTGGGTTTGAACCACCAACCTTTCAGATAATGAAAAAAAAACCAAACCCATTGCTGTCAAATCACTTCCGACTCATAGCAAACCTGTAGGATAGAGTAGAACTGCCCCTTACAGTTTCCAAGGAGTGGCTGGTGGATTTGAACGGCTGACATTCTGGTTAGCAGCCAAGCTCTTAACCACTGAGCCTCCAGGGCTCCGTTCAGTTAATAGTCAAGTGCAAAACGCTTGTGCCACCCATGAGTTGGAATCTACTCATTGGCAATGAGTTTGGTTTTTTGGTTTATTTAGAAAGACGGAAGTTAATATCACCAGAAATGACTAAAAGAGAGCCGTCCCTGCCCCACCTCTCGCACCCTAGCGTCTCTATCCCCAGCACATAACAGAGGCAGAGATTTGTTAACACTCCCACTGGTGCTGGATGCAGATCTCTTGGCCCCTCTGCTCTCCTCAGCACACTGGGTGTATCATTTTTTCATTCTTTGCCGGTTAGGGAGGTGATAAATGGTATTTTGCTGCATTTGTTTATCAATAAGATCGAATTTTTTTACATTTTTTTTTTTTTTTTTTTTTTGAGCTTCGCCCGCGTTTTCCTTCGGCTTATTCGTCTTTTTCTTGCTGAAATGTAACAGCTCTCTCTATTAACGCTAATAACCTTTTGGACATTAAATATGTTGCCACATCTTCCCTACTTTGATATTTGTCTTTTACCTTTGAGGTGTATTTTTCTGTCCAGAAACATTTAATTCTGTGCAGTCAAATCTGTCAGCCTTTTCCCTTATGGGGTCTGCCTTTTGTATTACACTTGGTTTGGAAGATCACTATTAACAAAATAAAAAATCATTGTGTTGTGTTTAGATTTCAAAGAAACTGTCAGGAAGTAGTTTATTTTCTTTTTCAATCTGCTGTCTAAGCAGAACGTAATCTTGGCACCACCATCACGTCCAGCATTTGCGTCTTTCAATGCCACGCGTCTTACAAAACGTGTCGTCAGCTTACTGCTAAATGGTTTCATCAACTAACACTCGTTTTCCAAACAGTCATTAATTTTCACCAGCTGTAAGGAGCCGTGTAATTTATGCAATGTTCCGCTCTTAGGCAGAAGAGACCTTACTGTGGACGAGAAGAAATGACCCGGCTCAGTCCGCATGTGGAGAGGTCTTGAGAGCAGTGTTTGCTGTTGCCAGGTACCATCAAGTTGATATTCAAGTCATTGCAACGCCATGTGACAGAGAACAACTGTCCCATAGGCATCTGTTCCCGCAAAGATGACAGCGTGGGAAACCTTATAGGGTGGTTCTACCCTGTCATATAGGGTCTCTACGAGTACGGACAAAGTCGAAGGCACGCAGCAGCAACCGTCTGCGGGAGCAGATAGCTCGGTCTTTCTCCCGAGGAGACCTGGGGGGTTAGAATTGCCAACTTTTGGTTAGCAGCTGAGTGCTAAACCATTGCGCCACGGGGGCTCTTTTGAGAGCAGGAAAGACCACCCAAACAAAACTGCATTGCCTTTGAAATTTTTCTTTAAACTTACAAATCTGGCCAGGATAAGATCTCATTAATGTAAAAGCTAATTTCTTCTTGTTAAAGAAAAACTCACATCTGATCCTGGTTTTCTTTAGGAAAAAAGCAGGCCTAAATACTTTGCTTCCGTATTAGGAAGAACTTCCCTTGCGGCATTGATAAAACAGTCCCTGATTTTCCTATTCCTTTACTCAGATGGCTTCGCTTCTCTTCTCTTCTCATCTAAATTTGTGACTCTGGCAACGATGCACTCCAGATAGCGTGCTTGCAGAAAGAGAAAGCGTTATCCTTCCGCCTGCCCATTAAATCGGGAGGACAGTGAGAAGAAAACAGAAAACAGAAAAGAAAGGAAATTAAAGGGTGTCAGATCGTCTTGTTTCTACAGGCCTGGTCACCTCGAGTCACTTGCTTCAGTCCGTTACTTCTTCCCCCTCTCAATCCCTTCGATTCTTCTCCAGAACTAAGACCCGCCCATCTGTGTGACATCCTCTTTTGTTGCTAAGCAGCAAACTCAGGGCTCCACGCACCCCGTTAACCTCGGGAGAACCTTGGATAAAGGAGCTCCAAGAAGGAAGCTGTAGCTCTGCAGAGGGAAGGCGGGGAGGAGATAGGTCATGGAGATGCTGCAGCTTATCATGGAGTCGGCCAAGATCGACCCGCCCCAAAGCCCCCCACCCAGTCCTTGTGCCACTATCTACTTCAGAGGTGAGAGCCAGGGTCTCAAATGGGGAGACAGGAGCCCCAAGAAGCTACGTTCACTCGGTGAAAAACTATATTTATGGATATGGCTTACTATGCAAAAGATGTTCTGTGTAATACAAAGACGAAGCAGACACGTCAGTTCTTCACAAACATCGTTTTTATTTTGTTTTGTTTGACACCTCTGCCTCCCATTTTTTCCATAGAACGGCTGCAGGAAAAAAAAAGACTAGTATTTCTTGAGCTTCTCTGAACTAGGGTTGTGCCATAAACTGAGGGTTAAGAGTATCCGCTTTATTCTGTCTGGAGGTGAGATGGGAAGGCAGAGAGGGTCAGGAGCTGGCTGAATGGACACGGGAAATCAGGGGTGGAAAGGAGGAGTGTGCTGTCACAGTATAGGGAGAGTAATCCGGGTCACATAACAATGTATGTATAAATTTTTGTACAAGACACTAACTTGAATTGTAGACTTACACTTAAACTACAATAGTAAACAAAAAAAGTATCCGCGTTATAGGACTACCGTGAGAATTCCAAAAAATAATATACGTACAGCCATTGGTACAGTTTCTAGTAATAACTGCTCAATAATATCAATTACTTCTGAATGAGCTTTACAATCAACATGTTGATTTTTTTTTTCACAAATACATTGTTTGCTCCTCACAGCAGTTCTATAAACTGGATGAGGCAAGTTTTATTATCTTCATTATTTATAGATAAGGAAAAGGAAGTCTAGGGAAGGTGGGAAAGGAGGAGGTGAAAGCATTCATAAGAGATTAAGCATATTTATATAACAAAGGGAGCCCTGGTGGTGTGGTGGTTAAAGGGCTTGGCTGTTAACCAAAGGGTTGGCCGTTTGAATCCACCAGCTGCTCCTTGGAAACCCTATGGGGCCGTTCTACTCTGTCCTATAGGGTCGCTATGAGTCTGAATCCACTAGTCAGCCATGGGTTTGGATTTTTTGTGGTTGCTGTTTATATAACGAAGAGCTGAGAGCATGCATTGGTTTCCTGGGGCTATGGTAACAAAGAATCACAAACTGGGTGGCTTAAAGCAGCCGAAATTCATTCTCTCTCAGTCGTGGAGGCTAAAAGTTCAAAACCAAGGTGTTGGCAGGGCCATTCTCTCCCTGAAGCCTCTAGGAGAGAATCCTTCCTTGCCTCTTCCAGCTTCTGGAGGCCCCAGGCGTTCCTTAGCTTGTGGCATCGCTCCAATCTCTGCCTCCGTCTTCACGCTGCCATCTTCCCTTGGTGTATCTGCTCGTGTCTCTTCTCATTTTATAAGGACACCAACCATCTTGGGGAACCCTGGTGGCACAGTGGTTGAGTTTGGCTGCTAAACAAAAGGTGGGCAGTTCAAATCCACCAGCTGCTCCTTGGAAACCCTAGGGGGCAGCTCTACTCCATCCTTTAGGGTTGCTATGAGTCGGAATTGACTGGACGGCAATGGATTTGGTTTCGGTTTTTGTAGGCACAGTGGATTAGGGTCCACCCTAGTGATCTCATCTTAACTTGATTAGCTCTGCAAAGACCCTATCTGCAAATAAAGTCACATTCATAGGTGAGAGGGAGGCAGTTAGAACTTCAGCATATCTTTTGGGGGGATACAATTCAACCCAAACACAGAGAAAAGGGAGAAAAAAAGGGTGAACAGTTGGGTCGTGGAGAGTATGGTGAGGTGAACGCAGGCAAATGAGATTCTCTGGGAAGAATGGGGAGTGAGAAAATCGGCACCAAGAGAAAAGAATCTGGACCATGAGAAGTCACCATAAGAGACTTGAATAAGAAGTGAAATTTCTGTAATTTTTTTTTTCTGGTCTGTGAAACTGTGCTTGCTGAATATGACACACTCAGAGAGTCAACATTTGGGACTCTAGGCAGGCAGGGTGATGTCCCTGCGTGTGTCCCCAGTTTGCAGGTTTACGGAGGTTCAGTGGATGTTTGGAGTCTCTGGGTGGCGCAAACGGTTACCGCGCTCGACCACTCACCGGAAGGTTAGAGATTGAAGTCCACCCAGAGGCACCTCAGAAGAGAGGCCCAGGGATGTACTTCTGAAAAACCAGCCATTGAAAACCCTGTGGAGCACAGTTCTACTCTGACACACACGGGGTCACCAAGAACCAGAGTCAACTCCCACAGCAATCGGTTTTTCAGTAGGCTTTAGTGCGTATTTGCCCTGATTGACTAGCTTTCCAGTGAGCCAGCAAAGAGCCTCACAAGTCCTCTCTCAGATTCTGAGCCATCTTTCCCACCACCTTGTGTTCACCATCGTTATCCTTCTAGACATATCTCTTGCAAAGATGCCTAGAACAAGAGCCCCGGGTTTATCCACAGATTTACGGACAAATTCTTACGATTATGTGTATATGTTTGATAGTTTTTATTCCTGTGGTCCTTCTCCTTCCTGGCCTCTTCCCCCATATACCATCCTTGGAAACTCTACGGGGCAGTTCTACTTTGCCATTTAGGGTCACTATGAGTCAGAATCAACCCAACGGCAATGGGGTACCTTGGGCTCCTCACCACGGCCCATCAGGCACACACAAACTTACATATATATCCTTTTCCCGGGAAAAATCTCGAAGTAATTTAGCAATTGAGAGGTTTTTTTTGTAGGACGGACTGTCCTCTGTTAAAGATATTTCCGGGCAAGGGGAGTTTTTTGGATGGAGTAGGGAGCTTCCAACCTAGGCTTTGCTGTGGTAATAAATCCTAAAATCTCAGTGGCGTACCACAATACAAGTTTGCCTCTTGCTCATGCAAGTCCTGCATGGATGTTGCTGGATGACTGGCTCCTCCAAACAGTGGCTCAGGGACCACCTGCTTGCCACTTGTGGCTGCCAAGTCACCCTGGCACCATCCTGCCAGGTGATGGTGAGGGTAGACGTGGGGCGTGGGGAGAAGGAGAATGGAGAATCTCACGGCAGACTTTAGGAGCCAGACCTGGCAGTGGTGACCATCACTCCCATGGCTCATTAGCCAGAACGAGTCACATGGTCCCACTTGGCTTCAGGAGGGCTGGGAATGATGTACCTAGGAAGAAAATGAAATAGTTTGGGAGATTGCATAGCGTTATCTGTCACATAGGGTGACATCATTCTTATACAAAGTGAGAAATTTTGAAACCCCAGGCAAAAGAATCAGTGCCACATCATACGTGTGAAAGTAGGCTCGAAGTTTTCTTAGAGTATCTACTTGAACCCCGACTTTGGAATAGTTCCCACAACCAACGCCAGCCCCTTGGCATCCTTGCAGATATCAAGAAGAGAACTTATGCGGTGGAAGGGAACAACCCCACGTGGAATGAGGTATGACACACCAGGTCAAGCCCAGAGAGCAGATGACAATCCAGGCGAGAGGGCAGAGGTGGTGTCCAGGTGGTGCTCAGAGTGAACAGGGAGCTCACCAGATTTTCCCAGGGCACCTTGGCCTGGCGCAGCCTCTGAGCTGACAAGGCTGTGAAGGCCTGAGGGCTGCAGCAGCCACATCTGCCCACAGCTGTTCTTGGTCTTTGTCCCACTCTCTGGGGATGAACCATGGTATTGCCCAGCAGCTTGTCAAACCTGGCCATCCTGATGTTCCCAGAAGCCCAAAGCAGAATCCCCTCATCTTCCCACCCATCTGCAATCCCATTGTCCCCAAACTGCTTAACTCCTAACACAGCCACACCACTGCCGTTTAAGTAGGAACAGCGCAGGTAGGCTGCCTGGCACCTTGGTGACAGGTAGCAAATGCCATCCCCTTCAGGAATTAGATGTGAGAAGGCGCTCAGCTGTAGCCGTTCCTTGCATCTTTCCTCATGTTGCTGGAAGGACGCGATGGGGAGAGCGGGGAAGGAGGCTGACCTCTCTGTGTCTCCCGCAGACGCTGGTCTGGCACCTCTGGACCGGTCCCCTGGAAAATGACTCCTTCTTGCAAATCATCCTTCGGGACACGGGCTCAGCAAGAAAGGAAAGGTGAGGCCGAGAGAGGCAGGAGAAGCCTGAAGCCCCTGTCCAACGCAACAGCAGACAATGTATCTTCCGTCTGTAATCCATGACTCATTCAGACGCAAGGGACAGAACGTACTCCAGCCAGATGAAGCAAAAAAACCCAGAGCAGGGGGATTTATCGGAAGGGTATTGAGGCTGGGAGTGCAGATGGGCTAGAACTAGGAGCTTGGGAATCCAGCAGCTGCTCCGTCTGAAGCCACAGATCTCAAATCTCTGCTTGTCTCTGGCCTTCTCCTTCCTTCTTTCCTCTCTGCCCAGCCCTGACTTTCCATCACTGCCCTCTGCTAAGGCAGCTGAGACTGAGTCTGTGGCATCCCAGGTCAAAATTCCTAGGACAGAGAATCTGATCGGTCCAGCTTAGGCCAGGTGTCCACCCATAATTCAATCAGCTATCAGGAGCTGTGTGGGAGCAGAGTGTGGGAAGGGATGTGGGTGGGCAGACGCTGGCTGAGGTGTCCACTGCCCCAGGAGCCCAGAAGCCAATTCCCGGAGAGTGGCAAGCCGTGAGCCCTCTGGTGGCTGCTGCACCTCACTGCGTGCTTCCTTCAGCCTCCCTGTCAACAACAGCCTCTGGGAGAAAACCACTCCTGGGACAGAAAAGGACACCCCTCCCCCTGGCCCCGGATCTCACGCCTGCTCGTCTCCCCAGGTTCATTGGCCTGGCCACAGTACTGCTCAAGCCCTTGGTGGAAAAACCGAGTGAGATCCTGTTCGTGAAGGATCTACCCCTGATCAACCATTCCATGAAGCCCACAGACGTGAGTCAGGCCCAAGAAGGACCCAAAAAGAGGGCTGGGAGAGTTGGGGGAGCCAGGGAAGCTGTGCCCCGCCCCTGGGGGAAGCCTCATGCCACTGCCATCAGCTCCGGACTCTCCCATCTTTCCATCTATCCATTGAGATTGATTCATTGATCACCCACTGGGTGTCAGCAACTGTGCTAGGCACTGGGGTTCCAGACTGAATGAGGCCCACAGTCTGCTGCAGCAGGTGCCACTCACAGTGATAAGCGCTCCAGCCCACACATCCCCAAGGTTCAGTAAGCTAGGCCACCTGGGCTCAGCAGGGAGAGAACAATCTGCGTGGGAGGTAATGGGAGGCTCTGTAGGAGGTGAGGTTCAAGATGAACCTTAAGGAGGGCGTGAGTTTGCCCAACGTACATGAAAGGAGGCCAACCTCGGTCAAGAGGCATAAAGTGCCCGGGTAAAGGCTGGATGGAGAATGTTGGGGGTGGGAGAGATGAGGCTGGGTGGGCAGGCAGGGGCCAGAAGGTAAAGGGCCTTGTGGTCTCTACTGGTAAATTGCGACTTTACTCTGATCATTTAGAGGGGGCTTAGGAGACACCTGGAGTCCCTGGGTGGTGCAAACGGTTAATGCACTTGGCTGCTGTCTGAAAGGTTAGTGTTCGAGTCCACCCTGAGGCACCTCAGAAGAAAGGCTTGGTGATCTACTTCTGAAAAATCAGCCACTGAAAACCCTGTGGAGCACAGTTCCACTCTCACACACGTGGGGTCGCCATGCATCAGAGTTGATGCAATAGCAACTGGCTTTTCTTAGAGGAGGCTCAGGGGGCAATTCAGGTGATGATGTGGAGGCTGGGTGCAAAGTGAGAGAGCTTGGAGGTCAGTTAGGAGGTGCTTGCAGGAGTTCCCACGTGAGGTAGCGTGATGCTTCACTATGGAAAGTGCTGTTAGCATCCATGGCTCCTGGACTGGTGCTCAGGTCGTCTCTCCCTCTCTTCCCCACCACCTACATCCTCTCCTCCTCCTCCACCTACATCTTCTCCTCCTCCACCTGTTCCCTTTCCTCCTCCACCTACATCCTCTCCTCCTCCTCCACCTACACCTTCTCCGCCTCCTCACCATCTACATCCTCTCCTCCTCCTCCACCGACATTCTCTCCTCCTCCATCACGTGGTTCCTCTATTCTCCAGATTCCCCCCACTTTAAACCACAGCTGTCACGCCATGAAGTTATGGACTCTAGACTCCACAGGCCCTCGTAGTGTGCCCGCATCCAGCATCGCTCCACCCAGGAGGAAAGGGCATGAACCTAGCTGGGCTGGGTCCAGTTCAAGTGCTGAGACTTGGCAAAGGATCTCAGGGCCTGGCTTCCAACTCCCCTGCCTTTGCTTTGCAGTGCACTGTCACCCTACAGGTGGCGCTTGTGACCTCCCGGAATGTTAAGACAGGTATGTCCTTCCCTGGGTCTTACCCATTCCCTTCCCCAAGCATAGCTGGAAGGACTCTTTAGGGCCTTTGAGACCCATCCTTAGGGCGTATGGAAGGAATGCGACCAGGTTAGAGTCCTGGCCAGATCTCCAGACACCTGGCTAAAGCCATCTGTCAACACAACCTGTCCACTCATCATCTGAGACTTAAGACTCCGACTCCAAGGAGCTTCAGAGGGAGTCAAGGATGGCCATGTCAACAGCCCCCGTGTGTGGAGAGAGGGGCCCCGGAATATATAGTTACTGAGGGTGAGGGGGGGCCCATGGGAACTTTCTGGGGAAGACATGTCCCTCTATCGGGCCTCTTGGCTGTATTTTTAGTCAGGAGCCTGTCACTGGGGATAGAAAGTTGAAATGGGGAAAGGGCCTCAAAACTTCCTCAAGCCCCGGCCTCTGAGCCCACCCTGTGCTGCTTCCCCAGAGGATGAAGATCGCCTTGGCATAACGGCAAGAGACGTGGCAAAGCAGGGACTGATGGTCCCCGGCAGTACTGTGCCCAGGACGCTGTCCTCAAAGCCTCAGGACTTCCAGGTGAGGGCCTGCCAGGTTCAAAGCCCACATGACCTGCCTGACACCCTCGCCTATATTCCCAGGGGATCCCCTCCCCTTCAAAAGGTCATTGTCTCAGTCACCTAGCGCTGCCATAACAAAAGATTCCACAAGTGAGTGGCTTTAAAGAATGGAAGTTTATTTTCTCACAGTTCAGGAGGCTAGAAGTCCAAATTCAGGGTGTAGATTTGGAGGAAGATGCTTCTTTCTCTATTTCAGCTTCTAGTAGTTGCCAGCAATCCTTGACGTTCCTGCTCTTTAGGTACACCTGCTCTGTGTGACGGCCTCCATGGCGTCTTCCCACTGCATGTATCTCTGTGTCTAATCTGTGCTTTTCGTAACTCAGAAGTGGTTAAGTTCAGAACCTACCCTGCTCTGATGATAACCTCATTAACATAACAAAAGAAAACCCCTGTTTCCAAACAGGGTCATGTTTACAGGGTTAGGATTTCAACACAAATTTTGGAGGCAACACAATTCAATTTGTAACAGTCATTGTTAGAGGGTGGAAGCTTCAGACTGAACTATGGATCCTCAGATCCTCATTGTATTCCCTGCTCCCACAGGGGCCATCCTGGGGAACTAGGGAGAGGCCAGAATGTTAGTGTGCATGTGGCTGAAGCTAGAGACAGCCCCAGGGGAGAAACGAGAGGTGCTGGCTCGCACCAGCCGGCCCTGGGCGGGTGCTCTGAAGGCAGAGAGTAAGGCATGGACCCTGACTTTCAGGGGTCCTCAGGTTGTGGAAAGACAAGGATGGGCACGTGCAACGTTAAATTAACTGTGTGGGAGATGCTGAGGAGGGTCTGAGGGGATTAGTGGGGATGGACATGGTTTCCACTGTGAAGTCTAGAAACGCCATCCCATGGCTAACCTCCTGCCTGTGACCTAACATTTCTGCCATGGTTTTGTCAGCTCCTTGGTCTGCCACTTGCCCAGGAGGCTGGGGGTCCGTGGCATCACTAGGGTGAAAGTCACCCAACCCCCACGAACCTCCTCCTGTACCAGATCATACAGAATCCTTAGTAACGTTTTTTGTACTTATGTTACTTGTAAATCATAATTCCCGTATGTCACTTCTTCTTTTCCTTTAATTGCTACTACATTCTCAAAAAAGTTACTGCTGTAGGTTCACAAATACTAATTACTACAATATTGCAGCTGAAACACCAAAAAATGTGACAAAACCAGTGACTATAAGCACACCAGCAGCAACAAAAACAACAGCACGTGTTTGTAGCACATGCAGATGAAACCACGTGATTCAAGGTGTCACTGTAATTGGATGATAAATGAGAATTCTGACCAGAGCACATCAGAAGTTTCAAAAAGTAAATTAGCATTGAGTATAATCTTGTAGGTATATTGATGCATTTAAGCTGGGCTTACGAAAAATGTTTTTGTTGTTGTAACTAACTACAGGGATATTTTTATAAAAAATCATAAATTTCTGCTGAAACACTGCACAAAAATTTTACAGACAGTCACTATGGTGTCACCCCCTCTGACAGTGTCACCCGGTGCTGTCTGCAGCCCCTACAACTCCCTAGTGACACCACTGCTGGGAGTATTCATCCTTGACTGCTTCTCTTCCTTGCCCCACCCCTGCATCCAGTCAATGGCCAAGTCCCAGCTCTAAATGTCAACCGACTCCATCACCACTACCACATCCCTTGTCCAAGTCACCACCATGACTGCCCTGTACCACATCCATAGCCTCCTTCTGAACTCCCAGCCTCCCACCCTCTCCCGTCCATGCTTCAGCCAAAGTGGTCTTCCAAGAATGTAATTCTCATCAAGCCACGCACCTGCTTAAAAAGCCCCGATGTCCTCTGGACAAAACACAAATGGCCTACATTGCTTACCAGCCCCTGGATAACCCACGCCTACTCCCCTAAGCCACTCTCTCCCTGCCCCTCCCTGCCCTGCTCTAGCTCTAGCTCTTGCAGTTTCCACACACGAGCCTCTCAGGTGGCCAGGGCTCTGCACATGCGGTTGCCTCCCTTGGAGTCCTTCCCTCTCCCTGTGGGCCCGCCCTCTTTTCACTGAGCTGGTTTACCACAGGATATCAGCTCAGTGTCAAATCGCTACTTTCCTATGTATTAGTGGTCAGGGCAAAGTTCTGAAATGAAGGCTGCTTGCCTGGTTTGGCCTAGTCTTCTCTCCGATGGTCAAGTAGCTGCATGTGTACGAGTCCCTGAAGGGTCCCTGGACTTAATGAAGACAAAGGAAACCTCGAGGAGAGTGGCTGGGCCCACAGCCTGAGTTGAGAGAACTGTATACTGTTTCCCGTCTGACTTAGTCTCCGAGTGCTGCTGTAACAGAAACACCACAAGAGGGTGGCTTTAAAGAACAGAGATTTATTTTCTCACAGTTCAGGAGGCTAGAAGTCTGAATTCAGCATGTGGCTATAGGGGAAGGTCCTTTCTTTGTCTATTTCGACTTCTAGTAGTTGGCAGTCTTTGGCGTTCCTGGGCTTGTAGGTTCATCTGCTTCTGTTGTCATCAGATAGAGCCTGTCTTCCCCCATAGGTACTTCTCCTGCATCTGATCTGCTCTTCTTATAACTCAGAAGTGATTAGATTTAGGACACACTACACTGATATGACCTCATTAAACTTACAAAGAAAACTCTATTCCTAAATGGGATTACATCCACAGGTATAGGGGTTAGGATTCTGTCTTAGTTATCCAGTGCTGCTATAACAGAAATACCACAAGTGGATGGCTTTAACAAACCGAAATTTACTCTCTCATAGTTTAGGAGGCTAGAAGTCTGAATTCAGGTGCCATATCTAGGGGAAGGCTTTCTCTCTCTGTTGCATCTGGGGGAAGGTCGTTTTCCTCTTTCAGCATCTGTGGGCCCGATGTTCCTTGGAGATCTCTATGTGTCTTGGCATCAATCTTCCCATGGGTCTTGGAGGTTCTCAGCACAGGGATCCCTGGTCCAAAGGACGTGCTCTGCTTCTGGCTCTTTTTTCTTGGTGTTAGGAGGTCCCTCTCTCTGCTTGCTTGTTTAATCTCTTTTATAACTCAAAAGAGATTGACTCAAGGTACAACCTAATCGTATAGATTCTGTCCTCCCTCATTAACATAACTGCCTCCCTCTAATCCTGCCTCATTAATATGATAGAGGTTAGGACTTACAACACATAGGTTAATTATATCAGATCACGAAATGGAAGACAACCACACAATACTGGGAATCATGGCCTAGCCAAGTTGACACACATTTTGGGGGGCACACTTCAATCTATAATAGATTCCAACACATATTGTTGGCAACACAATTCAATCCATAACGTCATCTATAGTCAGAGACAACAAGCTCCCATGCCTGTGTCCTGCTACCATTGCCTGCTTCCAGTCCTTTGCCCTCCAAAGCCCAAATCTTTTGTGAGCTCTACATCGCTCTTCTCCCCTCCCACTTTCTAATTTTAGGCTGAGATGTCATAGTCCCTTTACTGAGTTTCAATAAAGTACATCAAAGCAGAAGAAGAAATCACAAATCACAGATCAAATCACGGGTCGTGGATTCGACTGCATAGAACTTCTAAAATTTCAATTCCTTGAGAGGATCATAGATACAAATAAGAAGCAAACAACTCAGAAACATTAATTAGTTGCTGTCGAGTCGATTTCATTCCGACTCATGGTGACCCCATGTATGTCAGAGTAGAACTGGGCTCCATAGGGTTTTCAGTGGGCTGATTTTTCAGAAGTAGATCACTAGGCCTTTCTTCCCAGGCACCTCTGGGTGGACTCCAACTGCCACCCTTTTGGTTAGCAGCCAAGCACATGAACCATTTGTACCACCCAGGGACTCTTTATTAGACTTTGTTTATTCTGTAAGAAGCCCATGCCAATGGAGAAGAGAAATACTAAGTCTACACAAGAGGGAAAGGGCAAAGGGGTTCCCAGAAGAAGAGGTATAGATAGCTAAGGCCTTCCCAGGGTGTGCCTTCAGCCAGGCAGAGTGCTGCCTCCTCCCGACCTTCTCCGGCGCGTCCCCTCCTCCCGACCTTCTCCGGCGCGTCCCCTCCTCCCGACCTTCTCCGGCGCGTTCTCTTTTTATCTGCAATAGCGAGAATGTTTCTCATCACAACAATCTGACTCCTGACAGAAGAGTCCTTGGGAGTTGAGAAGGGGAGCCCAGGCCCCCAACGTCGGGCCCCTGTGTTTCCTCTGTAGGTCCGAGTGAAGGTGTTTGAAGCCCGACAGCTCATGGGCAACAATATTAGGCCAGTGGTGAAGGTGACCGTCGGAGGCCACGAGCACCACACGAGGATCAAGCTTGGAAACAACCCTTTCTTCAATGAGGTGGGTGCCACAGACCCTGGGGCTGAATGGGGCACGGGGCATGTTGACCAGGTGGGCCAGCCAGGGGTTGGACATCCCTGCAGGCAGCTGGCAAGCTTGCTTCTTGACTAGGGTGTTCTCGCGGGAAGCCAAGCACTGTGCTTGGCACCGGGAACTGGATAAAGTGGAGAGCCGCAGTCAAGGCTCTGGTGGTCTGATGACGGCACAGCATAGAAACACACAGACGACCACAAGGAGGCAAGACTGGGTTGACAGAAACCTGGGAGCCCTGCTAACAGAGCCAAGAGATGCAGCTTAGACCACGTGCTTGTCACTGCTGGAGCCCCAAATTCTAGCACCATGTCTGACGTGCAGTAGGGGCTCCATAAATATCTGTCGAATTAACTGGTTAATAAACAACCAGATAAAGGGACAGTGGGAGCAAGGAGGAGGCTGGGGGCGGTGGGAAGGACTCAGAAAATGTTCCCTCAACCTTGAAGGAAGAGTCTACAAGGGAAGGACAGACAAAGGTGGGGAAAGGTAATTCAGGAAAAAGGAGTACCATTTTCAAAAACCCTGCAGGAAGAACAGAATAACCTGTTGGAAGAACCGTAGATCTGGGTGTGACTGGAGGCGAGTGGCTGGAAGTACGGCTGCAAAAGAGGCGAGAGTCCCTTCCTGGAAGGCACTCCTGAGCCACCGAGGGGCTTATGCAGGAGAGTGGCAGGTCCAGGTTCAGTGGCGTCACTAGGGAGGCGGGGGGAGGGGGCAGACCACACTGGGTGACTGTGTCGGAGGGGGTGACACCAAAATGACTGTCTAAAAAATTTTGTGCAGTGTTTCAGCAGAAATTTATTATTTTTTATAAAAATATCCCTGTAGTTAGTTATAACAATAAAAACACTTTTTGTAAGCCCAGCTTACATGGGTCAATATATCTACAAGGCTAAAACTCTATGCTAACTGACTTTTTGAACCTTCTAATGCGCTCTGGTCAAAGCTGTCATTATTACCCAATAGAATCGCGTGATTCCGTCTACCCACTCTACAAGCGCGGGCTGTTGTTTTCGTCGCTGCTGGTGTTTTTGTATTTGCTAATTTTGTCAAATTTTATGGTATTTTAGCTACACTATTGTAGTAATTAGTATTTGTGACCCTATAGCAATAACGTTTTTGAGAATGAAGTAGTAATTAAAGGAAAATGGGAATTACAAGTTATGAGTAACAATACCAAAATCATTACTAAGGCTTCGACATAGTCTGGTACGGGAGGAGGCCCATGGCGGGGGTGACACCGTGAGTTACCTCCCTTGGTGACACCAACCCTAGTGATGCCACTGTCCAGGTTTGCATGTGGGAAAGGAAGCTCTGGCTGCGGTGGGGAGGGCTGGGGAAGTGGACTGGCAAGGGCCAGTCTAGAAGGAGATGGAAGCTGGCATCTCCGTCCCTGGGGCAGTCAGCTGGGTGTTGAGCTGCTCGTGACAGATTCTCCAGGGATTCCTCACATTGGTCCTTTAGCTGGGCAGAAACCGTCCAGAAGCTCAGGAGACCTCTGCTTCTGATGGAGCGTGGCCATGTTAATGAGCTGAGAGTCGTTGGATTGGGTGGTGGAGGTTAAAGAAGCATATTACTTGAGTCTACAAGTTATTGAGTCCCTAGGTGAGTGGTGGAAGAAACATCGTCCACCCTCACCCCTATTCTGTCTGCCTCAGACCTTCTTCCAGAACTTTCATGAGGTTCCTGCAAAGTTCTTCGACGAGACCATCTTAATCCAGGTGAGGAGCTAGACTGGCCTCCAGCGAGATGAGTTCACTTTCTTGTCCCACCTCAGTCCTGGGAAGCACCTTGGCCCCCAGCCCCCATCCTCAGAGCCGGGGTCACTTCATAGCATCTTTCTGATCCCAAGGCAGCATCTCCACCACCTTCTTCACCCCCTGCCTGCTCAGATTCCCCTTTCATTAATTCATTCCACAAATGTTATGGAGTGCCAACAGCTAGGTCCTGAGCTAGGTGCCAAGGTGAACAGGGCAGCTCCTTCCCATGCACCAGGATTCTCATGTCACCATGAGACCCATCAGAATGGAAGACTCCATTTCCTGACCAGAGGGAGCCCGGTAACAATGGTGAACATGTATTTATCAAGTGCCTACTGTGTGCCCGGAGTCCAAACCAAAACCTGACCCGTTGCTGTCCAGTCAGTTCCAACTCAAAGCGACCTTGTAGAACAGAGTAGAACTGCCCCATAGAGTTTCCAAGGAGCGGCTGGTGGGTTTAAACTGCCAACCTTTTGGTTAGCAGCCATAGCTCTTAACCACTGCGCCACCAGGGCTCTGCCCAGAGTCCAGGGTAGTGCAAATGGCTAAGAGCTCAACTACTAACCAAAAGGTTGGCAATTCGACTCACCCAGAGACTCCTCCATCTGCTTCTGAAAAATCACAGCCCATTGATAACCCTATGGAGCACAGTTCTCCTCTGCAACACATGGGCCGCCAAGAGTCAGAACTGAATCGAAGGCAGCTGTTTGGGTTTTGGTTCTTTTACTGTGTGCCCAGCCCAGAGCTGAGGAAACAAGGAGGCCTCTCCCACCAAGCGTTTACATGTTCTTGGGAACACAAACACGTAGCAAACTGCCAGGACAGCAAGTAATGGAGAAAGCTGAGGGCAGTACCTTGCCTTGTGTCCACCTGGGCCAAGAGAAGTGGCCGCTCTGGCCCTCAGTGGCACTGAAAACCTGAACCTCACAGGGTTTCTCCGAGAATTAAATGAGAAAACCTGTGTGCAGATGCCTGGCCATTAGCGAACGGTTCACAAACCCTGGAGGACCCCAGATGGGCCCTTACTGTTCATCCCATGGTGGGTGGGGGAAATCGGAGTTGTGAATAATTGAGATCTTTCTGGGAATTCCCCTGCAGGTGATGAACTCCTCGGTGCTGAGGTTCAAATCAGAGATCGGGAGATTCCAAGTGAGCATGGTGTGACGGGAGAGGTTTGGTAAAACAGTCATAGAGGTCCACTCTGGGTTCTAAGCCCCAGAGTCTGGGAGAAAGGACTTGGATATTTGTATCAGAAAGGTCCAGATTTGGACCCACCTATCATCTGGGTAGGAGCCCTGGTAACACAGTGGTTAAGAGCTCAGGCTGCTAACCAAAATGTCGGCAGTTCGAATCCACCAGCTGCTCCTGGGAAACCCTATGGGGCAGTTCTACTCTGTCCTACAGGGTCACTATGAGTCAGAATCGATTTGATGGCAACCAGTTTGGTTTTTGGTTTATCAGCTGAGTGACTTCAACAAGTTATTCCAAGCCTCTATTTCGTCCTGTATAAAATGAGGATAATAACATACCCAACCCACAGGGTCATTCTGAGGATTGAACTATGTAACATCTAAGAAAGTGCTTGGCTCTGTGTCAAATTCCCCACACCACCAACAGTGTGCACAGTTCAAATCTCTGCCTCCAGGAAGATAGGAAAAACCAGATCCACTGCCACTGAGTCGATTCCAACTCATGGCGCCTCCATTGTTCGAGTGGAACTGCTCATAGGGCATTCTTGCATGTAATCTTGACAGAAGCAGATCGCCAGGCTTTTCTTCCACAGCACTGCTGTGTGGGTTTAAACCACCAACCTTTTTTTTTTTTTTATTGTACTTCAGATGAAGCTTTACAGAACAAACTAGCTTCTCATTAAACAGTTAGTACACCTATCTTTTTATGACATTGGTTTACAGCCCCACGATATGTCAACACTCCCTTCACGACCTTGGGTTCCCTATGACCAGCTTTCCTGTTCCCTCCTGCCTTCTCGTCCTCGCCCCTGGGCTGGTGGGCCTTTTTAGTCTAGTTGTGTCTTATGGGCCTGTCTAATCTTTGGCTGAAGGGTGAACCTCAGGAATGACTTCATTACTGAGCTAAAAGTAATTTCCGGGGCCATACTCTCGGGGTTTCTCCAGTCTCTGTCAGGCCAGTAAGCCTGGTCTTTTTTCGTGAGTTAGAATTTTGTTCTACGTTTTTCTCCAGCTCTGTCCGGGACCCTCTGTTGTGATCCCCGTCAGAGCAGTCCCTGGTGGTAGCCGGGCCCCATCTAGTTGTGTGAAGTGTCTGTTCAAATCTTTTGCTCATTTTATTGGTTTGTTTGTTTTCTTATTATTGAGCTTTGAGAGTTCCTTATACTCTGGATACAAGTCCTTTATCAGACGTGTGATTTGCAAATCTTCTCTCCCAGTCTGTGACTTGTCTTTTCATCCTCCAGCAGCGTCTCTCAAGGAGCAGGAGTGTGACATTTGGATGAAGTCCAGTTTATCAATTTTTTTTTAATGCATCATGCGTTTGGTGTTGTAGCTATCTCTGCCTATCTAACCCCAGAGGACGGCTGAGCTTTCGGGTTTTATTTTGTAACATTTTATTTTGTTGTTGTTGTTAAGAACATTCACAGAAAAACATACACCAATTCAACAACTTCTACATGTGCAGTTCAGTGACACTGATTGTATTTTTTGAGTGGTATGATCGTTCTCCCCCTCCTTTTCTGAGTTGTTCCTCCTCCATTAACGTAAACTCACCCCCCCCCAGGGTTCCTATCTAATCTTTCCAGTTGCTGTTGTCAATTTGATCCCATTTAGATAGATGTTAAAAGAACATAATGCTCAAGGCAGACATTCTTTACTAGTTATGCTAAACTATTGTTTGGTTTTAAGAAGCCTTAAAGGGATATTTTTTGATTTAAGGTTTAAAGATTATCTCAAGGCAATAGTTTCAGGGCTTCATCCAGTCTTCGTGGTTCCAGAAAGTCTGGATTCCATGAGAATTTGAATTTTTGTTCTGTATTTTCCCCCTTTTGATCATAGATTCTTCTATAGAATCTATGATCAAAATGTTCGGTAATGGTCGCTGGGCGCCACCCAGTACTTCTGGTCTCATGGCAAAGGAGGCAGCTGCTCGTGGAGGCAATTAACCTCACAGAGGATGGCTGAGTTTTAAAGCAGGCCTTCATACAGAATTCTGTGGCTGCTCTAAGGAACCTTCTAATGTGGGTTGCAAGGGTGGTCAGAATATTCTGAGGTATCTTGCCCCACACTGCCTTCAATCCCCCCGACATCCCTCAGGCCTCTGTCAGAAACCATCTCCCAGGGGAAAAGGAAAACCTATAGTTTCTTTGCCAACTCCTGCCTTTACCACCCTCTTCCCGTAGAACCTAAGATATCCTTTCCCCATCCAGGGGCGGGGAAACTCAACCCTGTGTTGGTCAGGCAGTGCAGTGTGGTAGTTAAAGGCTCTTCCAATCCAGGCTTCCGCACCTACTGCTTGTAAGATTTGGGGCACTTCTCTCAAACTCGGCATCCTCTGCAGAGTGGGCTGATAACAGACCTGTCTTATAGGTCATTGCAAAGATGAGAGGAGTTAAGGCAGAACAAGTGCTCAAGCACCGGTAACTAGCATTCCCATCGTGTTAGTAGTATCACAGATGTTGGCTGGAGGTCCTAACTAATCCTCACCCCACTCTTGTCTTTTCAGACAGATATTGGGTTTATCTACCATTCTCCAGGTAGGTAACAGTGATTGTAAATATCTGTGTCTTCTGAGAAAAACCAGGCCAGGTGTCAAAATGCCTCCAAATCCCTATATCTTCAACACATGGGGGAGAGTACTAGCGGGTATGAATTATTTTCTGTATTTGGTAATATTTTACTGTACTTTATGGTCTTTTACCCTACTTTATAATAGGAGCATTTGGGTCAGATGTGAACCTTTTATTTCAACCTGGGATTTGATTGCTATTTTTTGAGGCCAGCGTTGGGGGAACTGAAGGTTGAGTAGAGATGTCCACTGTGACCCGGCCGTAACAGATCAGGTTGTGGTTTGGACATAGGGTTGGGGGAAATGCTTACCTCTACAGTGTCTGGCTCCAGACCAGGTCAGTCACAACTGTGAGTTCCTAAGGTGGGAAAGAGGGGTCCCTACTTCCTAAAGTCAACAGTTGGCAGCCCTGTGAGTGGACTATCATTGCCTAATGTTTAGGGGTGTTTCCCACTGTCTTCCAGATCTCAGGTAGACACTACCCCTGCCAATTGCTGGGAACCAGAATAAACGAGACAGGTTTCCAATCTGCCCCCCTCCATCCCCAGAAACAAAGACTGATTTCACACAGAAGAGGGGTTGGAGACTGGACACTGGTCTCCTAAGGCCCCCTCTGCTTCCCCAGGTCATACACTCCTGAGGGAGTGGTTAGGTCTCTGCCAGCCAGACCATCCCAGCAGTGGCGTGAGAGGCTATTTGAAAGTCACCATCTGTGCCCTTGGTGTGGGAGACCAGGCCATGGTGAGGCTTCCCCCACCCCCAACTCAGTAACATTCCCTATGGGGCTGCCTGCCTTGGAGCAGCCCTGGGCCCTCAAAGTGGCTCTTGATCTTCACATCCTTCCCCCTGTCCACAGCCCCAAGTGGGAGGTTGGGGAAGCAAAGCCTGGTGGCCTTGGCCGTGACCTCCCCGTGATTCTGACCCTATCCCATTGGTCTCTCCAGGTGGATCTAATGCTACCCTACAGGGCTGATGATACCGGCCCTAAGCTCTTCAAGTCGGCGGCAGTCCCGCTCAACACGGCTCAACTACAGTTCTTCATCTACTGCGCTGAGGACCTTCATTTCAGTTAGGGTTCGGGTGCTGTGGAGGGAGTGGCCCTGAGGCTCCCTACACAGTGGCATCCTGGATCCCCATGGGACTTCCCTGTTCCATTTTGACACTGACCTAAGATTTGGGGTGGGCCTCTGGTGGCACAGTAGTTAAGAGCTCGGCTGCTGACCAAAAGGTCAGCAGTTTGAATGCACCCGCTGTTTCTTGGAAGCCCTATGGGGCAGTTCTCCTCTGTCTTATAGGGTCGCTCTGAGTTGGAATCGACTCGACAGCAGTGGGTTTGGTAATTCCAGACAGGTCTTCCCAGGGACACCAAGCTAAACCGTGGGGGAGGGTTTTATGTTGTCCTGTCCCCTCTCCACTTAATCCTCCTAAAAGAACGTGGCTATCTCAGAAGTCTTTTAACTTCTTGTTCATAGAGAAACACCAGATAGGGAACCCTATGTTGGAGGTGGAACTAAGTGGGAAAAAGGTAAGTGTACAAAGGGTCTGAGGGTCAGAGAACCTGACACCTAGAAAAAATAAAATAGTGTGGAGGAAGAGATGATGGGCAGGACACCAGGAATGGCATCCCAGCTCTTCCACTAACAAGCAGTGTCTTAGTCATCTAGTGCCGCTGTAACAGCAATAGCACAAGTGGTTGGCTTTAACCAAGAGAAACTCTCTCACAGTCAAGGAGGCCAGAAGTCCGAATTCAGGGCGCCAGCTCCAGGGGACGGCTTTCTCTCTCTGTCAGCTCTGGGAGAAGGTCCGTGTCATCAATCTTCCCCTGGTCTAGGAGCTTCTCAGCACAGGGACCCTGGGTCCAAAGGACACACTCCCCTCCTGGTTCCCCATTCTTGGTGGCATGAGGTCCCTATCTCTCTGCTCACTTCTCTCTCCTTTTATCTCTTAAAAGATGAAAGGTGATGCAGGCCACACCCCAGGGAAACTCCACTTACATCAGATTGGGGCTGTGACCTGAGGAAGGATATTGCCTCCTACCCTAATCCTCTTTAACCACAGGCAGAGATTAGGATTTACAACACACAGGAAAATCACACAAATCACAAAATGGAGGGCAACAACACAATACTGGGAATCTTGGCCTAGCTAGGTTGACACATATTTTGGGGGGACATAATCCAATCCATGACAAGCAGTATGGCCCCACTGGACCAGAAACTCTGTAAAGGCTAAGACTCAGGCCACATCTTATTCACCCTGTATCCCTCTAGCTAGCCCAGCACCTTGCATGAGAAGACAACTCACTAAAAACAAATGTAGGAATGTGTGGATGAACGGATAAGTGAATAAAATCACATGCCAACAAGCAAATGAACAACATGAGTGTCAGCGGCCCCCTTTGGACTTCATTGTCTTCATTCGAAAATTGAAGGTTCCGGGCAAGAGAGCCGCTAACATTCCATGGACCTCCGTGAACAGAGTAGTGTTTTCTAAAGTGTGCTGATGGCGAAATACGCAAAACAGGCTCCAATGTTCAAATCTGGGGATGCTAGGTTAGAGTGAAATACATTTGTCTCAAAATTCACAAACCATCATTTCACCATATTCTGTCAGAAGCGAATCATTAAACCCAGCCCACACTCAAAAGGAGAGGGATTAGTCTTCAACTTTTGAAGGGAGGACCACCAAAAAATCTGTGGACTTATTTTAAAACCAGCGCACTGAGTATTTATTTTCCAAAGAGTGGTTTGGGATGCCTTTGGAGATGGATAAGATGATCTTGGGTGGCATGTGGCATGCATTAAAAAAAAAAAAATTATCTTACATTGTATTAAAAAGTTTAAATAGTCCAACTCACTATTAGTTTCAAAGATATTGTTTAGAATAAAGTTAGGCTTAAAAATTAGGTCAATCGATGCTTTTAAAGGGGGTATACCATTGTGTACTGCCGCCATCAGCTATGTTTTTGCCCGCTTTCCTGGTGGGATCTTAGAGTTTATCTGACAAAATCTATTTGCATGTACTCATATAATATAGTTAGTGACCCTGCATCTGTTGAAAAATTAAGCCAGTCGAAAATTGATTGAAGGGAAAATATTAAGTCATCTTGATCTGGCAAACAGTGAAGGATGAACACGAACCGAAGCTGTAGCTGATGAGACGTTTGTCCAGGGCGTCTTTTGGCTGGGGTTAGCATGAGCAGCTCTGGGGGGCGGACGCATCCCTCAGTGGGCGGGGAAAAGGCGGCTGGGAGGGGCTGAGGGGCCGGGCAGAGAGGAGGGGTCAGGCTGCCACTGACGTTGCTTTGGGATGTTCCCAGCTTAAGACCACCGTGCAGACCCAGACCGAGAACCCGATCTGGAACCAGATTCTGACCTTCCCGATTCAGGTATCGCTGCTCCTAGAAGCCGGGCTAAGACCAGCACACCCTACCCTTCCCCCACTGCCCCTCAAACGGAAGGGCAGTGTTGGGGCGTTCGTGTGTGGGTGCAAGTTGGGGTTGGGGGTCAAGAAGCACGGCAAGTGGGCGTTCCGCCTCAGAGGGAGGAGGAAGTCTGGGGCGTACGGAGACTCTTATTTGTCCGGTATTGTTAAGAAAGGAGGTCCCTGCGTGGCACAAGCCGTTTGCACTCAACTCCTAACGGAAAAGTTGGGGGTTCGCATCCACCCAGCAGTGCTGTGGAAGAAAGGCCTGGCGATCTACTTCTGTAAGATTACAGCTATCGAAAACCCTATGGAGCACAGTTCTACCCTAAAACATGTGGGTCCCCCATGAGTCGGAATCGACTTAATAGGTAGCTGGTTTTGTTTTTTGTGTTTTTCGTTAAGAAAGGAGCTAGGCGCAACTTTCCAGAGAACTTAAAAGTGCCCTTTCGCCACATTCAAAGACAAAGCAAACAAACAGAACGCTTGAAAACTCGTCCTAAATTGTATTAGACATTTTCTTATCTCCGAGGCAAAGGGCCCTGAATACCGAGAACTTGGTTATATACTGGGCTGCTTGACAAGCTAAGTGGTCTCAGGATGCTGCTGGTTGTGGCTTCTGTAGTCTGATCTTACAGCATTTTACCAAGTCCCGCCCCGCCCCGCCCCGACGAGTCAATTGCAACTCATAGTGACCCTACAGTACAGAGTAGAATGCCCCATAGTGTTTCCAATGAGTAGCTGGTGGATTCGAACTGCTAACCTTTTGGTTGGCAGCCGAGCTCCCAACCGCTGCACCACCAGGGCTCCTACAGCCTTTTGGTCCTGGGTCGCCTACGTCCTGTCCGCTGGAAGCGCTGATGTAGCTGTGACTGCCTTTTGACTCTCTGCAGGTTTCTCAGAGCTGTGTGCAAAATAAAAAACCGTTCTGAGTGACACGGTGAGCTCTCGCACAAGCCCCAGTGCATAGAACTTTGTGTGACCCCGACTTGGCCCCCCAGTGGTTAGCTCTCTTTAACCTTATGTTTGTGCTAACACTTTTAATTAGCTCCTGAGCGCCCCTCCTCCGCCTCTGGGCCCGCTTCCTTGTTTCTCCTAGACGCTTTCTTCCCCAGTCTGGCTCCCGGGGAATCCTAATGTTTAACGGTTCCTCGTAACCCCCGCCTCGTTGGATGGTTTTATAGACTGTTAAAGTAGGAAGAACGAACAAACAAATCTGTCTTGGAAGAAGTACAGCCAGAGTGCTCCTTAGAAGCAAGGATGGTGAGACTTGGTCTCACATACTTGGGACATGTTCTCAGAAGATTCTAGTCCCTGGAGAAGGACATCATGCTTGGTAGAGTTGAAGGTCAGTGAAAAAGAGGAGGACCCTCAATGAGATGGACCGACACAGTGGCTGCAACAATGGGCTCAAGCATAACAGTGGTTGTAAAGATGGCGAAGGAGCAGGCAGTGTTTTCCTTCTGTCGTACATAGGGTCGCTGTGACTCGGAACCGACTCGACAGCACCTAACAACAACAAAAACAAATGTAGGAAGAAGCCTGAGAGGGGGCCCAGTCCATACCCCGCCCATGCCAAGCTCCCTACCACCTGTCCTTGGCTGTGAAGAGCGCTCAGGGACCTTCCCGGAAGATTCTCTGATGCTCTGTGGCTGCACAGAATGTTGGGAAGTCCTCCCTCATGCTCAGCTTCCTTCAGGCTCAGAACCAGCAGCACAGGCCAGGTTCTTCTTCATCCCTGGGAGAGGCCCTCCAACGTCTGAAGATGTTCCTCTCCTTCCTGTACAAACACGCCCAAACCATCACCCATTTCCTGCAGAACACGGTCTCCAGGGCCCTTGCCATTTAGATGCAGGCCTGATTGTCACTAAACCAGTTGCCACCAAGTCGACTCTGACTCATGGTGACCCCACGTGTGTCCGAGTAGAACTGTGCTCCATAGGGTTTTCAGTAGCTGATTTTTCAGAAGCAGATCGACAGGTGTAAAAATGTTCTCGGCTCCTCTTTCTTGGTAATGGTGAGATCCTCTCTTTCCCACTTCCGGGATGGCTCATTTTAATCCTAGCAGGATGGCAAAACTGACCAATCCCCTCGTTAGGGTTCCATGGACCATGTTTGCATGGTCTCACTCCTACATGGGTGCCATGAACTTTATTGCATTATTAGCAAGCTATCCAATCCCCTTGGTGGGCCACAAGCACCTCATTTGTACAGCCCCACCCAATCACTTGGGTGGGAGTTACAAGACCATGGCGAGAAGGGCTACACAAAAATGATCCATGGCACCACACCAGGTGTCTCTGGGTGGACTTGAACCTCCAACCTTTCTGTTAGCAGTGGAACGTGTTAACCATTCTCACCACCCAGGGTCTCTGAAGGTCCATTAGCTCCATGGTAAATCCGTCTTTGTCTGTGATTCAATGACTCATTGGTAACCGAGCCAGGCCTTAGACCCCGACCCAGGACTTCCCAACTGCTCTCAAAATCTTCCCAGGGACCAGAAGGCCTGAGCGTGCACCCACTGCTGCTCTTGCCTTCCTCTTGCAGCTGCCCTGCCTCTCCAGCTACATCAAGTTGAGAGTCTTGGACTGGTGAGCAAATGGGCTGAGGCTGAAGCTCATGCGGGGGAGGAGGGAACCAGGGCCAGGTCGGGGCTCAGCCTGCAGAGTATGCTTCTCCGTAGCCCCAGGAAGGATTGCCGGGATGAGATCGGGACTGTCAGCCTGTCTCTCAACCAGATCTCATCCACCGGTGGAGAGATGGAAGGCAAGCAGAATCTCCAGCCCCGGCCTCCTGCGCCTCTCCCCTGTGGGTCCCACCCCTTCTCATCATATCTTCTTCCAGGAGTGTACTCTGGCTTCCTACCCTGCTTCGGCCCCAGCTTCCTGACTTTTCACGGGGGTAAAAAGGCCCCTTTCAGGATCCAGGAAGAAGGCACTGTAAGCTTCTCCTTTCAGCTCTAGGGAACAGTGGACGTTATGCCAACCATGTGTAAGGCTTGGGGAGGACCCAGACCTGCTTTCTTTCCACGGGAGTTCTAGTAAAGGACGTGAAGTCTCCACATAAATAACCACGGTAGATATTGGACATGGGGTGTAGCATAAGGAACAGCTGGAGTGCTCTAGACATTCACTGAGGGAGGGGCACCTGAGACAAGACCTCAAGTAAGACTGTCAGCAGGTGCAAAGGACAGTTAAGACCAAGGAAGAGGTAAACGTAGAAAAGTACTGGATTATTCCAAACTCTGGTTATAAATACCAGAAGCCCAACTCAGACTGGCTTAACCAATTAAGGGAATGAGGCTGGGGAGGACTCTGAGTGAGGAAGAACTGCAGGAACCAGGCCCTCAGCGCCACCGGGAGGCTCTCTCACTCTTGCTCTGGGTCTCACCTCTGCCGGCTTTATGCCTTGGCCTTATTCTGCCCAACTGCAGTCAGGCCTCCATGCAGGCAATGTGGCCTCTGCAGCCTCTAACAGGAATCCCGGGGCAGCATTCTAATTGGCCTGCTCAGGTCATGTGTGCTTCTCTTGGACCCATCACCACTGCCAAGGAGGTTAGGCATACCCTGATTGGCCAGGCTGTAAAAACAAACTCAGTAGTTGTCACAGCCCCCTCCAAGCATGGAGCATTTATGGGGAACAGGGTGCTTCAGGTGGCTGGCAGGTAGAACAGGGGAGCCGTGGGAGTTGAGGATGCAGAAGGGGGATCGGGGCCAGAGGTTTCCTGGCACAGTGGTGTCTGGAGTATCTGGAATTCCTTCCTGGGATTGCGGTTCCATAGATCTTCCTCAGGCCGGCCCCAGGCAGGCAGAGGGCTCGGGAGATTTGCCCACTCTTCTTCCTTCACCCCTTTTTTTCCGCTCTTCTTCCCTCACCCCTTTTTTTCCTGCTTTTCCTCTGTTGTCCAAGTAGTGTCCTGACTCTGTGAAGGATGGTTTAGATTATCGAGGCCGAGTCTTCCTGGAGTTAGTCACCGACATAAAATCCCATCAAGACTTTAAGATAAAGGATCTCTCCCGCGAAGTGACCAGGATGGAGGTAACCAGGGGAAACAGGTAACCCAGGAGAAAACAGGCCCTCTGCTTGCCCAGATCCACTAAGGGCGGCGGTCTCTGGCTCCGCACTGCCTTGGCCTCAGGGTTCCTGAAGCCTTGGCCACAAGCTGAACGCTCTCCTGGATGTAGAAGGATGACGGATGGATTGCTTGAGTGTTTATTAAGCCCCTGCTGGGGGACTTAATGCTGTGCCAGACCCCTCATTAGGGGGCTCAGTAAAGACAAGGTTTCCATTTAAGAAATGCGGAATCTAGTTAAGGAGAAATGGTGTTCGTGTGTGACCTAATTTCTCAGAGCTTTGTAAAATAACCTAAGGGGCTTGGATTTTTTCCTGAAGGCAGTGGAGGGCGGTGGAGGCAGAAAAGGCCAGGAGGAGCCGTGTTAAGACCAGACTGGATTGAAGTAGTTTGGAAGAGGGTAGCGATAATGGTTGCACAACAGAAGAATCGAATCAGTGTCACTGACTTATACCCGTAGAAATGTGTTGAGTGGGCACATGCTTTGTTGTGTGTATTTTTACCACAATGAAAAAAAAAAAAAGACTGGAGTTTAGAGGACTAAGTCAGAGTCACCCAGTAAAGAGAAATGGAGATGTCACCTTGGTGGCGGAGAGCTGGGGAGAAAGGGGCGGGTTCCAGAGACCCTCTAGAAACAGAATGATCAGAGCTAGTGACTAACGGGACATCAGAAGTGAGGTCAACTCCCCAAGCTGATGCCCATTTTCTGGCTTGGGTGACAAGGTGGTCAGGGGTAGCACCCACCAAGATGAGCTCCCTGGACAAGGAGCCGGGGGAGATAAAGCATTCTTCTTTGACTTGTGTTTGTGAGACATCCGTGTAGACCTGCCTTAGAGACTGCTGGACCCCGGGTCTGGGGGTGTGGTCCGCACACTGGAATTTGAACCAATGGTGTGGAAGAAATTGCCCAGGGAGAGTAGGTGGAGCGAAAGGAGAAGGAGGCTGAGGAGGGAGCCTACCTGCCACAGTCTAAAAGGCAGTGGAGGAGGAGGAGTGTTTGCACGGGAGACTCAGGAGGCTTCTTCTGAGGAGTGGAGCCTCAGGAGGGGAGAGTTGCAGAAAGGAGTGATCTACTGTCCTGAATGTGGAGGGGACAAAGAGTGAGCACTCAGAAGTGTCCACTGGCTGTTGGGAAGGCGCCGGTAGCCTTGGGTCAGGAGAGAAGCCAGGCTGCCAGAGATGGGAGGGAGAAGTTGGAGACGGTTCATAGAGGCGATGCTTGTAAGAAATGGCTGCACGCAAATGGAGACGTATCAGGTGGTAGCGAAGAAGGCTTAGAGAAGGGGGATGGTTTTTTAAGACAGAGGAGACCTGAGGTAGTGAAGAGACTGAGGGAGAGCAGGTGGTTACACCAGAAGTTGGCAACAGAAACAAGGGGTTGGGTAACGTGATGGATGGAACACTGAGAAGATGGGAGAGGTGGTGGGAGAGTGGGCAGCTGGGGCAGGAAGCAGAAAGTCTCATCTTCTCTGGGGGAGGAGGGGGACTTGAGGAGAAGAACTGCAAAGGGCGAAGGGCAGTCAGGGAGGGATGAGCACAACCTCAACCACACAGCCCTGCCCATACCGGTCTCATGGAAAGAGGGGGTTTAGGCAAAACGGAGGGGAGGGGCTCCCCTACATGGGATGGGGGCGGGGTGGCCCAACTCAGAGCCTCGCCTAACCAGGGAGGAACGCTTGTGTCTGATTCTGAGACGGGAAGGAAGCGGGTTGCCTGGGTGGAGTGGGCCAGGTGATGGGGGTCCTGGGAGGAACTGCTCTTTTTCTCTTTTTTTTGGGGGGGGGGATCCAGATTTATTTATTTATTTATTTAGCGTACTTCAGGTGAAGGCTTACAGAACAAATAGTTTCTCATGAAACAATAGTACACATATTGCTTGATGACATTGGTTAACAACCCCACACGTGTCAATCCTCTCCCTTCTCGACCTTTTCTTTTTTTGGTGAAAATATACATAGCCAAAGATACACCATTCCAAAAATTTCTACATGCACAGTTCAGTGACATCGACCTCGCTCTTCCAATTGTGCTGCTATTCTCACTTTAGATGAAGGCTTACAGAACAAGATAGTTTCTCATTTAACAGTTAATACACATGTTGCCCTATGACAATGGTTAACAACCTCACAACACATCAACACTCTCCTTACTCAGCCTTGGGTTCCCTATCACCAGCTTCCTTGTCCCCTTCTGCCTTCTGGCCCTTGTCCCTGGACTGCTGTACCTCATTAGTCCCATTTGGTTTTATGGGGCTGTCCACTCCCAGGCTGAACAGTGAACCTCGGAGATGACTTCACCGCTGAGCTAAAAGGGTGTCTGGGGGCCATACTCTCGGGGTTTCTCCAGTCTCCTTTAGGCCAGTAAATCTGGTCTTTTTTTTTTTTTGTGAGTTAGAATTTTGTTCTACATCCTTCTCCAGCTCTGTCCAGAACCTCTATTGTGATCCTGGTCAGAGCAGTCAGTGGTGGTAGCCGGGCACCATCTACCTGTACTGGACTCAGTCCGGTGGAGGCCTTGGTAGCTGTGGTCCATTAGTCCTTTGGACTAATCTTTTCCTTGTATCCTGTTCTCTTCATTCTCCCTTGCTCCCGAAGGGATGAGACCAGTGGAGTATCTTAGATGGCTGCTCACAGGCTTTTAAAACCCCAGACGCCACTCACCAAGGTAGAATGTAGAACATTGTCTTTATAAACTGTGTTATGCCAGTTGAGCTAGATGTTCCCCGAGACCATGGTCCCAACAGCAGGAGGAACTGCTCTTGATCAGCCAGGCGCGAGGGAGCCAAGTCAGAGTTTTGAGGGGAGGTAGGTGAGGGGCTCAATGACAGTCAGCTCACCCTGAAGAGAAGCAAAGAAGGCTTTTGAAGGACACAGGGCTCCTCATCCTTGCCTTCCTGCCTGTCTATTCCTTGACTTGTTCACCCCTTGGTTTATGTATTGGTGACATCGGGGTTATTGTTCTAGAAACAACAGAACCGCCAGAAGTACGGGCTGTGTGTCATCTTCCTCTCCTGCACCATGATGCCCAACTTTAAGGACCTGATCCAATTCGAGGTCAGCATCGGCCACTATGGAAACAAGATGGACCTGAATTACAAGCCTCTAGTCTCAACCACACAGTACAGCCCAGTGATATATGATGGTAATAGTCAGACCCAACCAAAAAGTAGAGAGCATCCGTTGCATGCCAAGCTCTGTGCTAGGCCCTTTCAAGTGTATTAGCTCACGTGACATTCATAGGCATGATTAACTCACATTTCACGGATGAGGAAAATGAGTTTCAGAAGTCACCTGCCAAAACAGAGCTAGTAGGTAGTGACCCAAGAGTTGAAATTAGTCTTGACTTCAATACACTGCATTCTAGACTACAACTTACTCAGCCCCATCTTCTCGCCTGCTACCATTCTCATCCATCTATACACCACCCACCAATTCATCTATCCACTTATTTATCCACTTCCCATCCATCCACCCTCTATCCATCCATTCCTGTATTCAACTCCCACCTATCACTCTCCCAAACACCCACCCATCCATCCATTCATCCATTTATGCACTCATCCAGTATACATCTATTGGACATCCACTCTTGATTGGGCAATCTAGAGCAGTGGTTGTCAAAGTACAGTCCCTGGGCCAGCAGAATCAACATATCTGAGAGCTTGTCAGAAATACAGATTCTTGCCCCTGCCCCAGACCTACAGAATTAGAAAATCTGGGATGGAGTCCAGCAAACTGTGCTTTAACAAGCATGTGATTCGGATACGTGCTAAAGTTAGAGGACCATAGAGGAAGACGTTTGTCTTTGTCAGCTTCGCCATCTCATCCCCCACTGAGGGCCTTGCCACCCTTCTCACTTTCAGCCTGTGCTTTATTGAGACATAATTCACAGACATTTCAATTCACCCATTTAAAGTATACAATTGAATGATTTTGATTATATTCACCAACTTGTGCAACCTTCACCAGTATCAATCTGAGAACATTGCATTGCCCCAGAGAGACCCTTCAGCAGTCACTCCCTATTTCACCCTAACTTTCTCAGTCCTAGGCAACCACTAATCTACTTTCTGTGTCTATAGATTTTCTGATTCTGGACATTTCATAGAAATGGAATCATACAGACACACATGCAGAAGACTGGCTTCTTTCACCTAGCATATGTTCTACCTATTTTTAAAATTATGAAATATTTGTACAAAAAGTATATAAAATGTGTATGTATGGTTTACCGAAAAATAATAAAATGACTACTTACGAACTCACCACTCAGTTTAAAAGACAGAAAATTGTCAGCATCTTAAAGGGCCCTGGTGTGCCTGTCCCAGATCCATTCATCCAAGAAGTAATCATGATCCTGACTCTTGTGTTAATCACTTCCTTGCTTTTCTTTTTAATTTTTACCACCTATGTGTGTGTCCCTAAACAGCATGCTGCTTTTGCATTTATATAAACAGAATCTTTTGGTCTGTATTCATCTGTCTTGTGCTCAACATAAAATTTCTTTTTAAATATTGGTCTGTGGAGTTGCAGTGCATTTTCATTTCTGTATCTACTCCACTGTGTGATTATACCACAAATTATGTGATATATGTGGACATTTAGGTTATGTCTCTGTTTGCTACTATGATTTTGTTATAAACATTCTTGTTCATGTCTCCTGGTCCCAAGTGTAAGACTTCCTCTAAATTATAGACCTTGGGGTGGAAGAGAAACTCAAAGCAAAAGTGATTATACAAAATTACGCTCTCATCAGCAGTGGTATGAGAATTCCTATTACTCTACATTCTCGTCAACACTTGATGTTGCCCAGCCTTTTAATTTTTGCCAATCTGATAGACGTGAAATAGTATCTCCTGTGGTCTTAACTTGCATTTCCCTGATTACAAATGAAGGTTGAGCATTTTTTCATATGCTTACAGCCGTTCGTTTCTTTCCTCGTCTGTGAAAAGCCTGCTCGTGTCTTTTGTCCATTTTTCTATTTGGTTGTATTTTTCTTATTGATTTTTACATGATTTCTTCTGGGACAATCTTCCATCAGATGTGTTGGAAATGTCTTCGATAAATATATACGAGTATAACCACCACTCCAATAATAATTCAGAAATTTCCATCGCCTTAGGAAGCTGCTATGTGTCTCTCTTCGTTCTATTGCCCCTACCCCTGGGGGTAATCATTGTTGTGACATCTGTCTCCAGCAGTTAGTTTTACTTGTTCTATAAATTTATATAAATGGAATCATGCTGTATAATACTCTCTCTCTCTTTAATGGCTTCTTTTCTCAACATTGTGGTTTAGAGACTCATCCATGTTGTATATATCAGCATTGCACCCCCTCCATAGTATTCCACAGTATAAATTTTTCAGTTTATCCATTTACTTGTTCATGGACATTTAGATTGATTCACGTGTTGGAGTATTATAAATAAATTTGCTATGAACACTCTTGTACAAGTCTTTTTGTGGAAACATGCCTTCGTTTCTCTTGGGTAAATACCTAGGAGTGGAACTAGAGTTTTATAAGAAAGTGCCTAATAGTTTTCCAAAGAGGTTGTATAGTTTACACACCCACAGCGATGTCTGAGAGTTCCATTTGCTCCACAGTCTCACCAACGTTTGATATTGTCAGTCTTTTTTATTTGAACTATTCTAGTGGGTGTGAATGGAGCCCTGGTGGCACAGTGGTTAAGAGCTCAGGCTGCTAACTGAAAGGTTGGCAGTTGGAATCCACCAGCTGCTCCTTGGAAACCCTATGAGGCAGTTCTACTCTGTCCTATAGGGTCGCTATGAGTCGGAATCGACGCGCCGGCACACGACAACAGTGGGTGTGAAGTTGTACTTCGTTGTAGTTTTAATTTGCATTTCTCTGATCACTGATGATGCTGAGCATCTTTTCGTGTGCTTATTGGGCATTCATTCATCTGTCTCTCTTTAACAAAGGGACTGTTCAAGTCTTTTGCATACCTTTCGTTGGGGGGTTGGTGTTTTTATATTGAATTGCAGGCGTTCTTTTATGTTTTGGATACAAGTCCTTCATCGGATACATGTTTTGCTGATTTTTTTTTTTTACAGCCTGTGGCTTGACTTTTCAATTCCCAAACAGTGACTTTTGAAGATGAGAGGTTTCTAATTTTGATTATCGTTTCTGTTATGGTTTGTCCGTCATGTGGTCTAAGAAAAGTTTGTCTCTACCTAGATCTTGACGATATTCTCTTGTTTCACTCTCCAAGCTTTATAGTTTTAGCTTCTTTACTTAGGTCTATGATGAACGTGACTTAATTTTTGTGTATGACGTGAGGGAGGGGTTGAGATTATTTTTTTCTATACAGATATCCAGTTCAGCACCATTTGCTGAAAAGACTCTTCTTTCCCACATTGAATTACTTTGGTATCTTTGTTGAAAATCAATTAACCATATGTGGGTGGGTCTCTCTTTAGAATCTCTATTCTGTTCCATTGTCTATTTGTCTATCCTTAAGGGAACATCACATCACCTTGATTACTGTAACTTTATAACAAATCTTGAAATCAGGTAAAGTCCTCCAACTTTGTTCTTCTTTCTCAAAATAGTTTTGGCTATTCTGGTTCCTTTTCATTTTTATATAAATTTTGACATCAGCTTGGCAATTTCCACAAGAAGCCTGCTGGAATTTTTCTGTCTTCTTGTGTTTTAATCACGTGGTTTTGGCTTGTTTGGTTTTGTTTTTTGGGAATGCACAGTATCTCCTCTGCTGACTTACTAGCTATACATCTCTGAATTATTTTTAGTGGTTGCTCTATGGATTATAATATGGATCCTTAACCTATCGTAGACGTCCTTGAATTAAATTATACCACTTCACGTATAATGTAAAAACCTTCTAACGGTATAATTGCTTAGTCCTTGTTTGGTTTTAGCATCAAAGTTATACCAGCCTCATGAAGTTAATTGAGTAGCATTTCTGTTTTTTACTCTCTGGAAGTATTTGTATAAGACTGGAATTATGTGTTCCTTGAAAGTTTAGAAGTCATCTCTAAATTTGAGCCTGTATCTGTGATGATTTAAATACTGATATGATTTATTTAATGATCAGTCAGCTTTTCTAGTTCTTCTTATTTCAATTTTGGTAAGTTAATTTGCCTAGGAACACGAAAATGTATGGTTGTTGTTGTTAGGTGCCGTCGAGTCGGTTCCGACTCACAGTGACCCCGTGTACAACAGAATGAAACACTGCCCGGTCCTGCGCCATCCTCACGATGGTTGTTACGCTTGAGCCTGTTGTTGCAGCCACTGTGTCAGTCCATCTCACTGCGGGTCTTCCTCTTTTTCGCTGACCCTCTATCAAGCATGATGTCCTTCTCTAGGGACTGGTCCCTCCTGATAACAGTGTCCAAAGTACGTGAGATGAAGTCTCACCATCCTTGCTTCCAAGGAGGATTCTGGCTGCATTTCCTCCAAGACAGATTTGTTCGTTCTTTTGGCAGTCCATGGTATATTCAATATTCTTCGCCAACACCATAATTCAAAGACGTCAATTCTTCTTCAGTCTTCCTTATTCATTGTTCATTGAATATGTATATATATATATATCACCTAAGTTTTCAAAATTTTCAGCATAAAATTATTCATAATGTATTACTGCTCTCCGTTTAATCTCTGCAACATCTGAAGATAAATTCCTTTTTTAAAATTTTTTGTTTTGTGTGTGTGCCTTCTTTTTATCTTGATAAGTCTTGTCAGAATTTTCCCATCTTTTACTGTTACAAATAATGCTGCCAATAAGTAACCTTATCCATAAGTTTGTTCACACGTGCATCTGTATGTCAGTAGGTGAAACGACCCAAAGGGGAATTGGCCGAAGGGTGTTGGCGCCTTGGCAGATATGGCAAAACTGCCCTCTGTGCGGATTTTCCGGTTTGCTCTCAATCCCTCCATGGTCTGCTCTACATTTCCGCGGCTGGACTCCTGCAAAATTTCCAGATTCCCTTGCCAGCTGATAGGAGGGGAGAGACTGCTGTTCTCTCTCCTTTCTCTGTGTTTCTGGAGCTTCTCTGGAAGTAGCTGCTTCCTTCAGAGATCCCAGGTGGCAGTGCCTCCTCTCGGGTGCCCCTCCTCCATAGTTGGGTGCCCCTCCTCCATCGTTCCAGCCTGGCCAGGGCAGC